CCTGGCAACACTTCACTGCCTCACATCACACGTACAGTATACTGGGATATACTCCGCCTTGGCAACAGTGCGGCGTACTCCTGGCAACACTTCACTGCCTCACATCACACGTACAGTATACTGGGATATACTCCGCCTTGGCAACAGTGCGGCGTACTCCTGGCAACACTTCACTGCCTCACATCACACGTACAGTATACTGGGATATACTCCGCCTTGGCAACAGTGCGGCGTACTCCTGGCAACACTTCACTGCCTCACATCACACGTACAGTATACTGGGATATACTCCGCCTTGGCAACAGTGCGGCGTACTCCTGGCAACACTTCACTGCCTCACATCACACGTACAGTATACTGGGATATACTCCGCCTTGGCAACAGTGCGGCGTACTCCTGGCAACACTTCACTGCCTCACATCACACGTACAGTATACTGGGATATACTCTGCCTTGGCAACAGTGCGGCGTACTCCTGGCAACACTTCACTGCCTCACATCACACGTACAGTATACTGGGATATACTCCGCCTTGGCAACAGTGCGGTCACACGTACAGTATACTGGGATATACTCCGCCTTGGCAACAGTGCGGCGTACTCCTGGCAACACTTCACTGCCTCACATCACACGTACAGTATACTGGGATATACTCCGCCTTGGCAACAGTGCGGCGTACTCCTGGCAACACTTCACTGCCTCACATCACACGTACAGTATACTGGGATATACTCCGCCTTGGCAACAGTGCGGCGTACTCCTGGCAACGACTTCACTGCCTCCAAACTACTGTATTAAAATTTCTTTGATATGATTTATGGGAAGGATCTACAGACTCATCTATAGCCAGTTGTGTCATTGTACATATCTCCTCATCTCACTATATAATACATTACTGCTACACATTTTTGTTGACGATTCTTGCTGCTTATATGAGTTGTTACGTGTCGCGTACTGCTCACTTCCTGTCTTAAGAGAAGGAATATATTTGTTAAAAGAATATGGGTTAGTCTTTGGAACTAAGTAATTATATATGTATTATTCATTTAATGCAACAAAAAACATAAATTGCATATTTTTGTGTATTTACATCAAAATCAAAATTAAAGATTTATCAGACAATTTTATTTATAAAATTTCCTTAAATTAGAATTATGGTAACATGATAAATTTTATATTTACTGTTTATGTCTGAAATACCATTTTCCTTCTTAGCTCGAGCATTTGTACCCCTGATATTTTTTTTTAGGATATCATTTGTAACGCACATCTCGGCACATTGATCTTCGCCTTTTGTCTCGACTACATGTAACGTCATCCTCCTCAAATGTAACCTTGAGTTACCCAATTGTCTTGAGTAAGAGTTTATTAAAAATACTTTTGAGTCAACCTTTTATTTTCAGCTTTTGTTTCATTTATATCATTATATTATTTCTCCTGGTGATTTATTATTGGTTTATTCTTGTAGCAGATGATGTTGACTGGTAGCAAAGTGTTCATTGTAGCCCATGACCAGAGTCACATTCTTGTAGCAGATGATGTTGACTGGTAGCAAAGTGTTCATTGTAGCCCATGACCAGAGTCACATTCTTGTAGCAGATGATGTTGACTGGTAGCAAAGTGTTCATTGTAGCCCATGACCAGAGTCACATTCTTGTAGCAGATGATGTTGACTGGTAGCAAAGTGTTCATTGTAGCCCATGACCAGAGTCACATTCTTGTAGCAGATGATGTTGACTGGTAGCAAAGTGTTCATTGTAGCCCATGACCAGAGTCACATTCTTGTAGCAGATGATGTTGACTGGTAGCAAAGTGTTCACTGTAGCCCATGACCAGAGTCACATTCTTGTAGCAGATGATGTTGACTGGTAGCAAAGTGTTCACTGTAGCCCATGACCAGAGTCACATTCTTGTAGCAGATGATGTTGACTGGTAGCAAAGTGTTCACTGTAGCCCATGACCAGAGTCACATTCTTGTAGCAGATGATGTTGACTGGTAGCAAAGTGTTCACTGTAGCCCATGACCAGAGTCACATTCTTGTAGCAGATGATGTTGACTGGTAGCAAAGTGTTCACTGTAGCCCATGACCAGAGTCACATTCTTGTAGCAGATGATGTTGACTGGTAGCAAAGTGTTCACTGTAGCCCATGACCAGAGTCACATTCTTGTAGCAGATGATGTTGACTGGTAGCAAAGTGTTCATTGTAGCCCATGACCAGAGTCACATTCTTGTAGCAGATGATGTTGACTGGTAGCAAAGTGTTCATTGTAGCCCATGACCAGAGTCACATTCTTGTAGCAGATGATGTTGACTGGTAGCAAAGTGTTCATTGTAGCCCATGACCAGAGTCACATTCTTGTAGCAGATGATGTTGACTGGTAGCAAAGTGTTCATTGTAGCCCATGACCAGAGTCACATTCTTGTAGCAGATGATGTTGACTGGTAGCAAAGTGTTCATTGTAGCCCATGACCAGAGTCACATTCTTGTAGCAGATGATGTTGACTGGTAGCAAAGTGTTCATTGTAGCCCATGACCAGAGTCACATTCTTGTAGCAGATGATGTTGACTGGTAGCAAAGTGTTCATTGTAGCCCATGACCAGAGTCACATTCTTGTAGCAGATGATGTTGACTGGTAGCAAAGTGTTCATTGTAGCCCATGACCAGAGTCACATTCTTGTAGCAGATGATGTTGACTGGTAGCAAAGTGTTCACTGTAGCCCATGACCAGAGTCACATTCTTGTAGCAGATGATGTTGACTGGTAGCAAAGTGTTCACTGTAGCCCATGACCAGAGTCACATTCTTGTAGCAGATGATGTTGACTGGTAGCAAAGTGTTCACTGTAGCCCATGACCAGAGTCACATTCTTGTAGCAGATGATGTTGACTGGTAGCAAAGTGTTCATTGTAGCCCATGACCAGAGTCACATTCTTGTAGCAGATGATGTTGACTGGTAGCAAAGTGTTCACTGTAGCCCATGACCAGAGTCACATTCTTGTAGCAGATGATGTTGACTGGTAGCAAAGTGTTCACTGTAGCCCATGACCAGAGTCACATTCTTGTAGCAGATGATGTTGACTGGTAGCAAAGTGTTCACTGTAGCCCATGACCAGAGTCACATTCTTGTAGCAGATGATGTTGACTGGTAGCAAAGTGTTCACTGTAGCCCATGACCAGAGTCACATTCTTGTAGCAGATGATGTTGACTGGTAGCAAAGTGTTCACTGTAGCCCATGACCAGAGTCACATTCTTGTAGCAGATGATGTTGACTGGTAGCAAAGTGTTCACTGTAGCCCATGACCAGAGTCACATTCTTGTAGCAGATGATGTTGACTGGTAGCAAAGTGTTCATTGTAGCCCATGACCAGAGTCACATTCTTGTAGCAGATGATGTTGACTGGTAGCAAAGTGTTCATTGTAGCCCATGACCAGAGTCACATTCTTGTAGCAGATGATGTTGACTGGTAGCAAAGTGTTCATTGTAGCCCATGACCAGAGTCACATAGCACAGGCAGTTAACAACCAGTTAGACCAGTTTAATCCCCAGGCAGAACGAGACATTTGACACGTTTTCTTAGGTGTTTGCGTTTATATTGATGACCAAACCACACACCAGAAGATGAAGAGATGACGTTTCAGTCCGTCGTGGACCATTATCACGTCGATGGTGACAATGGTCCGGGAGGGACCTAAATGTGATCGTCTCCTCACCTCTTGGTGTGTGGTTTGGTCATCGTGGCTTCAACGTTATTGTGACTCATTGTCTGCGTTTATATTATACTGTTAAGATTATGCGTCAAGGAAAACAATGGAAAAAGAATACAATATTAAATAATATAACAGCATATTATGAGACAGCTAACTCTTAATTAAAAGTCAATTGCACATTCACATATACATAGAAGAGCGACCTAGTTTATTCATCATTGGCAACATTTAAAAGCAGATTCCATACATTAGCCTTTGCAAGTCTTTATGATGTGGATTTTCTGGAGGATGGGGGGGACCTTGCTCTCTTATTAACCCACTGTAGTTTTGTTCGTGCCCTTTAGGGTATGTCCCCATATGGATATGTTCTCATACCACTTATCTCCCATGCAGCTGCATTTGTGAGTCTTGGTTCATGAACTGGGTTCCTCCCCCTCTGCACAGATTTGTCTCATCATGCCTTCTGTCATGTTTGGCTCAAAAGCATCTTCAACTGCAAACAAGTTGCTCTTGGCCTTGTAGTGGGCCACAAGCCCCATGCCCATTTAGTGGAGGTTCTCCATTTGTGTGCGATTCAGGAGACATTCTCAGAGCAGTGCCAGGTTGGTCTCGGTTCTTCGTCTGAGGCCTATAACTACTGTACGTGGTCGTCTGCTGTTGCCCCCACAGATGCCATTCCCAAGTTGTGCTCTTGCAGTATGCTGTGACAGACTCCTATATTTCTTTCCATTCCAGCCCGCTGGTCACCTTTGATTCTTGCCAAGAATCGCTTCGTTGCTTTCTGTCGTTTTCTTCCTCATTTTTTCCATATCCTAGCTGAGGTAGGGGGGCCTGCGGGGCGCTCCAAGCAACAGCCTGTTGGAGCAAGTTATCACACGGGAAGTAGAAGAACTCCCGAAACACTCTCCAGGTAGGGATTTTGGGGTTCTGGTTGCTGAGGTGCAGTGTGATCTGCATTGTGACTCAGATACTGCAGTGTTCTTGGCATTGCTCAGGGGTGGCCATTGGTAGGGAGTTCCTCTCCTCAGCCTCTACATGGTATGCCTGGACATACTTGTGGTATCTCGAGCTCATCAGGCTAGTGTTCACCCACGACAATATCACGAGGAGCTACTCCACTGTATGCTCTTCTACTCTGCAGCTTTACTCACGATTAATTGGATAAGGTATGTTGGCAGACACCCCATCCTTGCAAATGATATCCCTCTTTCATGTCCTAAGAGATTTCCATGTACTTTCATGTACCTTGGATCTCTCCTTTATTTGGTACTTTCTGTACTCGACCGATACATTCCTTGTCTCACATGTCAATGTCCACCATATCCAGGTTCACCAGATGGCTTTGAGTGAAGTCAGGGTTAGGGGGCATGGGTAAACTGAGTAAAGATGGAGGGAAGGGAGCGGGAGGGCAGACCAGAGGCGGACGTGCAGGGACAGGAGGAGGGGGAGGGGGGGTGGACAACCGAGGGTCAAGGACAGCAGCAACCGAGGGGAAAGCGGGGAGACCAAAGAAACCTCCATAGCAGGAACAGGGGCCGCAACCACCGACATGGGAGGGGATGGAGCAAGAATGTCAAGAGGTAGGGGGCGAGGAAGAAAGCGAAGCCTTCTTACCTGCCAGGGAGGAGGAAGGAGAGGAGCCAGGCTTTCGCTTCTGATTCAAAGAGACAGGCGTCCCAGCAACAATGTACTGGGTAACAGATTCAAGTATCTCAACAGGAGAAGCAGATCGAGAGCAAACACGATGGCCGTTGGGAGAGCGATGAACATCAGCCCGCACTGACAGGCGGTGTGGAGAGCTAAGAGATGGAGGAAAAGGATGGGAAGGAGGATCGGAGGGAGAAGACACAGGAGACATGACAGACTGGGTAGAAAGAAGGGGAACCCCAGACAGAGAGCCATGAGGAGAACCCTTCGGGACAGAACTCAAAGGAATAGAGGAGGAGGCAGTGGGCGTGTCTGGGTCTAAGGTCTGGAAACGGTTGTGAGTCTGAGGAAGGTGGGAAGAAGAGGAAGAGCGCAACACGCGAGCATAAGAATGGGAGACTGCGAACGTGGCACCTCGCTTCAGGAAAAGACAATTGTCCCGGTGCTTCAAATTGAGGATGGCTGCCTCAAGCTTGTAATGTATACACACGTGGGAGAAGGTAGGGTGGGCCTCACCGCAATTGAGGCAGCGAGCCTGGGGAGAAGTGCACTCCGACTTAAGAGTGACCTTCATCCCCACACACAGGAGAGAGAGAGACAGTACCAGAGCAGCGGGGAGCTCCATGCCCAAACCTCCAACACTTATTACAGAGCCGAGGAGAAGGAATGTACTCCTGGACGGAGCACCTGGCACCAGCAAGAATGATAGGGTGGAAGGGTCCTACTATCAAAGGTAATCTTCACAACCCGAAGGGGTTGACAGTGACGACCACGAGGGGGACGAGTAAACGAGTCTACCTGGAGGACAGAATGGCCCTGAGCGTCTTTGAGCTTTGATGTCCAAAGGGTTTGGAAAGGATGGGGGAGATGAAATTCAGGAAGAGGATGCGGGTGTAGAGAGAGGTTTGAAAGTTCGATGGCCTGTCCACCATGGGTTGACGTGCGTGTGTCATTTGTTTGCATGTGTGTTATGTTGGGATGTCAGTACATTGGCTGGGGGGGGCTGGTGTTTGTGACCTAACTGGTGTCTGGAAGCCCTAGAGCCGATGGACTTGGCTGAAGGAGATTAATCTTAGCAAGATCAGGATAGTTACACTTCTGGTAGCACAAAAAAAAGGGTTTTGTGTTTATTTTTTAGTCATTTTATTTATTTTTTATTTATCAATTTATTTATTTATTTTATTTATTCTTCATTAAGTGTAGATCGGGTCCGGGATGGGCCACTCATGTGGGTCGTCTGGCAGGCCACTTAGTATTTGAGGTCTTGGAAAGGCCTGATCATGGATGTGTCTGATCACTTACTGTTGGAGTATGATTCTTGTGGTTGTGTGTGGTGGTTGATGGATCTCGTAGTCGCTGGTGGTGTTTACTGTTTCGTGGGGATCTTCGGGATCTGGGACATACATGTGCTTCATGCGGTACAGCTGCCTTCTGGCCAGGTAGCTGAGCCTGGGCGTCGAGGATATGCCGAATATCTTCGTGGCAGCCCTTTAGATTCTGAACACCGGTTGCAACATAGTGCGGGAGGAGAAAAGTGCCAACACTGGCATTCAGCCGAGCGATCTTGGAGACCCGAACAGTCTCGCCAAGGCAGGATAAGGCGGCCAAGCAGGAGGCTGCATCCTGAGGAGCAGCAGCAATGGCACGTGTAACGAGATGAGTGGGGTTGAAGGTAACAGAGGCATCTACTGAATCAACAAGGTGTCTATGGAGGGAGAAATCGTCAGGTGTAGAATCAAGAGGGAGGAGATTAAAGTATTTGGCCCATGAAACGGGACCAAACAAGGCTTGATATGCATCAGTACGGGAAGGAATCGAGCGAGTGCGGCAGTGGCAAGGACGGCATTGAGAACCCCCAGAAAGAGAGAGAGCGATTAAAAGGCGCAGTAGTCACAACTAAAGACTGAGCTGTGCCAGGGGACGAGGTGGTCACCACTGGGGGCTTGGCGTTTGACCTAACCACAGGGAAGGGAGGGAAGCCGAGGGGAGTAGTCAGGAGTCAAAGGAGGAGCAAGGTCGGGGCCCAATGCAGCAGGGGCTATAGAGCCTGGTCTTCCAGCACAGGCCGATTCGGGGGCTTGGTCGCCCACCCCACGAGCCCGAGAAGGTATAAGAGGAAGATTAATTGACATACAAACGAGGAAAGACTTTCATTCACAAATGTGCCCCCGCACCCACCACAGAGCCACAATTAGAGGCAGGACACCCAACAAGAGACTTATTGCCGATCTTGCCAGGGCCCCCCCCAGGGGTGTGTTGTGAGTATATGCTCCACAAATGCCACCTTAAGAACCGTCAGTCCGTCGAGATCGGGTTCAGTGATGAAAGGAGGATTGACAATAAAAGGTTCCCCTCGCTCGAGATGTTGGATACTACAGTACTACGGGTGCAAGAGTATGTCTCCTCAAACACCCGGGCATCAAAATAAAAGAGGACCAAAAGAATGATCAAAACAGGCAAAAGGTCGGCAGGAAATGACAATTTGAAAGGAGAAAAGGGGAGAGAAAAATGAAACACGAGGAAAAGGAAAAGATGTCTGGCACAATTGGTAAAGACAGCAGCAGGAGTATAAGGCTGCAAAAGGACAGAGGACTGACCCATGGAGCATCACACAACAGCAGCTGCCCACTAAGCCCCACTCATGGTGACAATGGGCCAGACAGGGAGGGGGGATTTCTTTTTAAAGTCATGGATGGAATTAGCTTCAACAAACTCTTCAATACATTCCACTTGCTGACTACCATTACAAGGAATGAGAACGTCCTTACATCTCTTTGACTCAACTGCATGTCCAGCTTCCACTTAGGTCCCCTTGTCCTACCTCTAATTTAAATAGGCTTCCTTTGTCCACTTTGTCTATTTTCCAAAGATCTTGTATGTAGTTATCATATCCCATTTCTTCTCTCGTCTTAAGGTTCTCTCAACCTGTCTTCATAGCTGAGGCATCTCAATTCAGGGACTAATCTAGTTGCAAACTTCTGAATATTCTACTGTTTTTATGCTTCACATGGTATGGATTCTATGCTGGTTCTGCATACTCATGTAATGGACTCACGCAGGTGGTGTGTATGGACTTAAAAACCTTACTGTTTAAATTCTTAAATGAGTTTCTGATGATAGTGATGAGATTATGTCTATTCCCAAGTCTTTTTTCTCTAATTTTTCTTGTAAATGCTTTTCTCTTATGGTGTACATAAATACGGGTCACCTATCTCCCTTACCTATTCTCATTACTTTACACATATTTGGAATCAATTCCAGGAGCCATTTATCCCCCAACTTCTGATATTAGTCAGAATCTTCTTGCTGCACTCTCCAGCCCTCCTCTGTTTTTAGTCTCGAATCATCTGTGAACGCCGACATGTACGAGCTCACTCACTCTGGTAGGTTATTGACATGAATAATAAGGCAGACGTCCTCTAAAGGTTCCCAATGTCAAGAAAACGGAACAGTACGTCACTGTCACAAGCCGCTTCCATTTTCTAGGTCAGTACGACAATGTCTGGCCTTATGTAACGCATGCGAACGCAAAGCGATGTTCTTTGTAGCAGGACAGGTTGAATAAAGCCCAAAGGTCCTAAGACCGAACTCTTCCCAATTAAACTTACACTGTGAGTTACCATTAAAGGATACAAAAATATCAGCAGCAGGTTCGTTTTGTTTTTATTTTTTGTAATAATTTATGAATATGAAAATCGTTTGCACTTCACTTCTCAACCATTTAATTTGAAACAAAAAAATTATCTAGAATTTACTCTTGAAAGATGCATACAAACTGTATTAATACAAACAAGGAGTCAATAAATACAGCAATTACCAGTACAGTATCTGTTCTTATCATTGCGTGTATCATTGATATCGGCCCATTATTGCAGTATTATATTGAAGAAAACAAGTGTACTTACCACATTAACTAGTCAAACATAGAAAAAAAAATAGCTGAAATATTTATATTCTTAAGTTTAAGACAAACAGATGAAAATCTTTCAAATGCCGAAAATACTTTTATTTTCTTGTACTGATGAAAATGGTTCAGTTGTCATCCTCCTCGTCATTGTGCCCTGAAACAGAGAAGCTATGAGTTTTCAAACCATTTTTATATTGCATTAAAAAGATCATATTTGCTCTCAGTAACTGTGCTAGATTATCCTACATAACCCATTGCTTTTACACTCGAGAGATTTTCAACCTATTTAAGCAAACGACTTAATAAGATAGAAATGAAGTACAGAATAGAAATAAATAACCCAATCAACAAATTAAACTAAATATCGTTATTTTTAAGTACCCAGGACAGACCAAAATGTCATCACTTTCATGGATGATTTGTTGTAGACACTTTACTGTGATGTATTTTCTGCCAGATATAGAGAGCCACAGAGAGAAGTGTCAGGTCTGACCTCCAGTACTGCTGAATTCTGAGTAACTGTATTTCATAATTGCTTAAAAGAGCAAGGTTGAGAGTGAGATGAGCATCCACAAGAGTGCAGCAAGAAGTATAGTTTTCCTGAGTTAATCATGAGTGGTCTACAACAGGTTTGTTCATCACTTAAGACACCCAAAGGTTACTGTCACATGACCAATACAGCATTTGAAAAAGGAACACAGAAACAGCATTAACGAAATGAAATTGTGCAAGGATATTTTGAAGAGATGTGACAAAAGTGAAACCAGAGTATGTCTTTCAAGATCAGAATTGAGTATCAATCACACAGTCCTAATGCAACACAAAAGCTCAATATATGAGGCATGAAAACAGTGATTTTCCTCAGCTGTTGCTTGTTTTCTGATCCCCACCTCACTTCACAGAAAAATCACATTATCGTGATATATCAACGAGAAAATCCACTCATTCAACGTTGACCAACGACATTGAAACACTCGACGTGTGCAGCTTCTACCCTCACAATGAGAAAATGAGCGAGATATTCTCATATCTCCCACCTGAGTGTTTTGGTTTCCAGTAGAGACGCGTGGGTCTAGAAAGATATCGTGTCTCCCAAGGCCTGATTACTCATACCACTCAACACCTCACAGAAACAAATAAAATCACAATTTCACAATATAGAAAATTCTGCCTGTCAGTTGATCACCAGATGTATAAATCAAATACTGTGCTAACTTTTTGTAACCTTGGCAATTATCAGTACGTGTACTATTGTTAGAGGGATCTTACCTGGAGGGTTTTGAGAGTTGTTCTACTCCCCGAGCGCAGCCTGGGGCCAGGGGGGGAGGATGGGATATTTAATTCATTAACAAAGGTAATTGCATATTTACTGGAAGAATCTAATTTGGGTTAATTGTTTCAAGAATGGGTTATAAACTAAATTATACTGAGACTTTAATTTTTGTCTTTAGTCCATTACAAAATATCAGTGGCTATTCACAATTAAGCACGGAACTCGGCTAAGGATAGTTTAAACTAGAGTTTGAGAGTTGTTCTACTCCCCGAGCGCAGCCTGGGGCCAGGGGGGAAAGATGGGATATTTAATTCATTAACAAAGGTAATTGCATATTTACTGGAAGAATCTAATTTGGGTTAATTGTTTCAAGAATGGGTTATAAACTAAATTATACTGAGACTTTAATTTTTGTCTTTAGTCCATTACAAAATATCAGTGGCTATTCACAATTAAGCACGGAACTCGGCTAAGGATAGTTTAAACTATCCTCAATGTAACTCAAAGCATCAAAGCGATAAGGCAAATGTCATGAATCTGGTGAATATCGTCAAACTTTCTAGCAAAAGGATCAAGTGCGTTCTGCCCGAACTGAGTTAATAAACCTCAAACATTGACTGTATAGTACATATCTTTTTTTTTAATATTTATGATTCAATACATGTTTTGTCCTAAAACTCATTCAATTGTTCTCACCACATCTTTAATCAAGAAGTAAAATATTCACTTTTGCACAGTGACTCCAGTAATGACAGGGAGCACACCTTCCACATACACCACATTGATGACTATGTTGTTATTGTTTGTGTCACCGAGAAGAAGACTACAATTTCTATTCTAATTAGTAATATACAGTACACTGAAGAGGACGATGCAGGTCAGAACTCGGTCAAAACTGTAGATGTGAATATCTCACTTCAGCCTCACGTTAGTATAACCTGCTTGTTATTTGTGCTCAATAAGGAGGTAAAATGTACACCCTCATGGAGAACACGAAGTATACTCAATTCAGTATACTTACTATATGGTGAGTAAACTGTATACAGAACACAAGAAGAAAGGAAATTGCAGTAGGCCTGTTGACCTATGCAAGGCAACTCCTATTTATTCCAAAACAAACTCACTCGACTCTCTGTTTAACCTTTGCTTGGAAGAAGAGCATGCTCTTACGTCTATTATGTTACCCAGTAATTTGCTCCATACATCTACATATCTCTTCCCACCTCACTATCACAAGAATTTTCCCACATTCAAATTTATAAGTCATATGACACATTTAAAACAAAACAAAATCCTAAAATACTGTATTCACCCAGCCAGCCTCTCAATGTAACATTGTTTGGCCTAACCAGAAGCGCATGAACCCAAATAACTCGCCTAACCCATTGAGACCGATGCACAGAATAAGTAAATACTGTATTACGACTGTTTAGTTTTTACGAATAGGTCACTTTCTAACAAATTGGTAAATTCCATTAAAACAGCCATCTATTAGGTGAGAGGATGGGTTATGTATTAAGATTATTGTATCACAATACCTGAGCCAAATGTATTCTTCTCCATATCTTTCAACAGTACTGTACCTTCATTAACCCTTAAACTGGGCATGGCGTATATATACGCATATGGCCCAATGGCACCATAAGTTAAATTTTTCAAACTTGTTCTAACAAACGCTTTCAAATTTTTTGTGCATAATTTACTAAGCAAACACTCCAACTTTGTCTAAATGATTATCAACATAACTTGAAAAATAAGGAAATTAAAAATAATTATAAAGTTTAATATTGAAAATTTCAGATTTTCAGATCAGCTGCAAAAATAGTAAATATCTCCTATTGTTCATTAAGTGTTATTATGCTCTCAGAATAGTATATGATCTTCATCTTAAGAGATTTACAATATAGATTTTCAGTTTAGTTTACTGTAAAAAAAATCGTTAAGATGGGATTTGAAATATGCACCAAATTCAGACAACAAAATTGTAACTCAAAATGTTTAGTGTTTATGAAAAATCCATCCAAATAGGACTGTAGAACAGAGAGCGGTGAACACTATATGTAAAAATGGTAAGAATCGGTCAGAAAATTAATTTTTTGAAGCTGGCTCAATGTTGAAACTCTAGTTTTAGAGATAATTGAAGTTGAAGTTATCGACAATGTATAAGGTAGTTAATTCATTAATTTACTTGTATGTTTTAATAAACATTGTTTGGCATTCGTACTCGAATATGTGAAAGTTGTAGGTCAATATGTGTTGAAATGAAGTCAAGAAAAAATACCCCCCCCCCCAAAATAAAATATAGGGATAATTATAATGATTTAGGGGATATATTTAGGGTATACTTTATATAATTCAAAAAGTCCTAATCTGGTCCCGAATCATCAAAATCTAAAACAAGGAAAATAGAGTTTGAAATCTGTGAAAAAATCAGCCAAAAAAAATTCAAAGTCCCAAGTTCTGCCAGTTATGACTGTTTTATTTGTTGACCAATTTAATTCTTTCTTAACATAGGAATGGAAAAGTATACATTCTCCCTCTTGTAGAGGTTACAACAAAATCAGATAATAAAGAAGAAAAAAAAAATTCCCCTAAAAAAAAAAAATTTGTGGACATTGGTGAAAGTATTACTATTGAACAATGTATTTGTATGATATATAACAAAATAGAGCATAATAACATACTCACTCATTATTATTTGTGTTATTATGTATTACTCAGCAATGTTATGAAAGCACCAGCTGCATATCCACTTTGTGGACACTTCAACCTACTATTCTGCTTCTTTGTGCATCGGACAGGTGCTTGCATCTCCTTATTACTCCCTTGTCCCTCAGTTCCACTTAAAAGGAGCTGTTCTCCTTATCGACAAAACATTCTTCTTTAACCCTTTAACTGCGCGGCCTATAAATATGACATCCCCCAGTGCGCAGGAAATGAAACCTTGGGAAAAAATTATTTTTTCCTCGGAAAGTGTCAAAAACCCCTCCCTGTACTGTATATGGGTATAGCAACGCAAGTTCGAAATTGTACTTACTTTGGCTGCTATGGGGTCCGAAAGGTGGGCTGTGACGTCATAATTCCCCGTGCGCCAGAGCAGTATGCACCCGGGGCCGGTGGGGCGCCCAAGGCGGGGCGCGCGAGTTGCCCCGAATATATTTTTGCACATTTTTTGCGCACAGTTCAAAATACATTTTATTTGTTTTTACATGCTAATCCTATGTATAATGAACACGTACACTATATTATGGCAGTAAAACATCCGTACTGTCCGAAGACACTGTGTTACGTGCATGACACTTGTGTACACATATGTTGCACATATTTACCATGTATCATGCTAATTTATGTATATATACAATCTATGTACAGACTATACACTGTCACACACTATATACATTCACCATCAACACATTCAGAACACCGCGAGTGTGAGCAGCCACACCCAGCCAGCCCTCCCTCACTCCTCCAACTCGCCAACATTGCTCCTCCAAATCATACAGTTATTCACACCAATGTTTCATGTTCATTTATGTATATTTACAACATATGTACACACGCTACACTGTCACACACTATATACATTCACCATCAACACACTCAGAACACCGCGAGTGTGAGCAGCCACACCCAGCCAGCCCTCCCTCACTCCAACATCTTACTCGCCAACATTGCTCCTCCCACCATACTGTTATTGTATTTATTACACAATTTACACATGTTATATATACCTATCTACATGTTTTATTTACCAGAACTATGCAAGTAAGCCGGTATTGTGTCCAAACAGTACAGTGGCCACCATACACTGCATGACAAATCACACAGCAGACAGCAGACGACGCCACGATTACGTCACCTCCCTCACCAAAATAGCTCCTCACAACATATTCCTGGTGCTGTTATTACACTATTCCACACACACTGTATATACCCATGTACATGTGTGTTCCCCATAGCGAACCACGAAGCTAGTATGGTGAGCAAAACAAGAGTGGCTGCCACACAGTGAGGCTACCTCAATTCTCTTCCTTCCTCCCTCCCTCACCAAAATTTCTCCTTCCTCCGCACAACGCTCATTATAACCACACTGGTCACTAATATCTGTAAATGAATAATTGACCACAAGTTTATTTTGAAAAGGAACCTAAAAAGTCGTTTGAAGATTCCTAGATGGACGAAATAATGCTGTGGTGCTGTGGCTAACGCTGTGAACATCATGAACAGCATTGAATCACTGATATTTGAACATTGTACCCAGTCATTATCACACTCGGGCTCTTCTATAATACTATCATGGCTAAATAAAACAGATTATATATATATTTTAACAATATTAGGCAATGCTGTGGTCACACGCTGAACAGCAGTGCTGTGCGCTCATGCTGCGAGCGCCAGTCTTGGTTGCTCACTCACTACTGAGGCTCTGACACCCGGCAATGTGGACCATGATTTGTTTTTAAGATGGCGTCTGTTTACAAGAGCCCTGAGGAAGCTGATGTGAACCCCATGTAGCCGCGGGAGTTTTGAATGGAACGTGAAAAATAAAAACACCCAGAGGCGCGTTGCGCACCCGAAGCCTGGGCCTGCAAGCGCGTTGCGCAGTTAAAGGGTTAAAAAAAATTGTCTAAAATCCATTTCTAAAAATATTGGGATGAAACTTTCACGACACTGAAGCCAAAAAGTTTGAGATTTGTTAAACATTTAATATTAATTTTCACATACTTAATTAAAATATATTTTCACCCAGCCCAGGCTTATAACCCCATTTACAGCCTAAGGTGTAGAAGTGTAAGGGTTAATGTGAATATTGAAAATAAATAATTCATTCAAATTATTTGCTGACAAAAAGTAATTAATGCTCTGAAGTTAAAATCTGAAGACAAAAATGACAGACTATATATAATGCATGAAGTGGAAGATTAATTACATTGTAATTAACTTTACAAATTTTAAAAACAGCAGTCGGTACAGTGTCACTTACGGCGCTTTCCAGCTTGTGATCGGCTCGGTATGTTGCCAGTGCGAAGCATGTGCTGAAGCCTCTCCACTTCCTCCATTGAGCGAGCATTAGCTATAGCTTGACGGATGGCAGCTTGATCCTCTGCTGTCATTTGACCTGTCCAGACACAAACACAACTTTATACAAGATATTTTTATATATTGTACAGTACTGTACATGCAAATCTTACAAAATGTAGTCAAAATATGACACCTATATATAAATTTGGAGAATGTGTAGCCTCCAATTGATTTTTATATAATCAAGCATTGAATGTGATGAAATGCCTTTTCCGATAGGCCCTCAGTATCTCCCGAAGCTAAGCACTCGTACCGCCATGACTTGTGAAGATGCTCAAGGTCTTTGACAAACACACTCACCTTCAGGATGCCAGGACCAAAATTATGCTGGCTCTTTAAAATGTGAAGGCAGCACAGAGATCACAGATCATCTCAAAACTGAAGAAAAGCACAAGTGCAAGAAAACAAGCAACTGCTTGAAGAAAATGAGGTAGCCTGGTGTATCAAGGCCAATGAACGTGCTGGTGGATAAATATCATAACGTTGATGCACCCGACTACCATCGGGTAGCCGCCCAGGTCAACCAGGCCTCCAGCACACTAATGAGCCAACTTAACCAAATCCTTCCACAATGGGTGGAAGGGAACAACACCGGGAAGAAAGAAGGGACCACTAGAAAATGAGGACTGAGGGACCACTAAAAAATGGCACTTCATTACATGCACCGTGATGTTGACCAAACCACACACCAGAAGATGAGGAGACAACGACGTTTCAGTCCGTCCTGGACCGTTATCTTCTGGCGTGTGGTTTGGTCATCGTATCTTCAGCCACGTTATTGTGACTCATCGTCTGCATTTAAGGTGATATCTGGAGAGGCCTAGACAAGGAAAACCTCAGAGCCAGGACAAAACCCACCCAGCACCAAAGCAAACAATCCAGCAACTCTCAGCAAATCACCCAAGACCACAGATCGGAAACAACACTGCACTCAGCCAGGGAATGTTAGGACACATAGCTGGGCATAGCTGTGGCACAAAGTACCACTTTATAAGTAATAATCAATCAAAGGAGAGCTAAAAAAAAATCACCTGCTGGAGATCTGGAAGCATCTGAAAGATATAAAGACAGGAAAGAAGAGTGCAGAAACCCCAGGATTGAACATCCACCAGAAAAACAAAATCCTATTGCCTGCAAAGTAGGGCATAAGAGGCAAAAATTCCACCTTCCCTGTTCAGAGATTGCCCAGACAATTTAGCTAAATCAGCCTCCACAAGACTGGCATATTAAGAGGGTGCCAAGAGGAAAAGGGTGTCCTACTGGCTCCACTGAGACTACAGTGGTGGCCTAATTGCCATCAGGTCAGTGGCTAGTTTCCTCAGCAGTTACAGAACAATAACTGGCAATTAAGTCACAGAGGTGTTATTGAGAGATCGTTGGTGTAACAAGTAATGGCCTCTTTCCAAGTTAAATTTAGAGAACTCTCCACTTGCTTCCCTCTCCAATTATGTGAAAAGAATGTTTACAAAGTCCCTTGTCACAGTAAGGCAAAGGTCACCAAGAGACTGCTATCTTAGCAGTATTCTGGCTGTAGGCTCCAGAGTAATCATGAGGACTTTGATCAATAAAAAAATGTTCAGTGGTGCAATTCTAAAGGAACAAAAAACCAATGATCTTCAACTTAAATATATTATATGATACAGTATATGCTAAAGACCTTGCCATTAGTACTATGACTTACACAGGGAGGAACATGACTGCTAATTACTCGGCTGAGATAAGTTGCAGCCCATCTACGGTGAACTACAAGGAGCAAAAACTTGGTTTCACAGCATCATCATGAACTTATTTTGGCTCACTATTTCTTGACTGTACATACTGATCCATATGTTTATGGTTCACATACATATCACCAAAGGCAGACAAGCTGGGATCACCCAAAAGTGGAGCAGCCAGATGGGAAGGTTGAGAGCATCCGTTGAGCAAAGAATACACATCCCTAGGAAACAGACCACAGGCCTGTAATATGAAGGCTGAGGGCATATCTATATACCATACGTATATTGTGGTGAAACCAGTATGGTTTCACCACTCTTTTTTTGAAGAGTGGTGAGTTGTTTCAATGCCTTCCTAATAGGTGACTGACAAATCATACAAAATGACTGACAAGAATAGACTGCCAACAATATAAAGATTCAGTAAGTGGTATTTTATGACTCCCCTTAGATGACAGAACTGGTGACATAGCAGGCAGGAAAAATTAAAAGTTAAAATTGTATATATACATTAGCTTCTTGATAGAAACAAACAAAATCTAACCCAAAGTAGGCCGGGAGTCCAAGATGCCACCAGCACCAGGCAGAAACGTTCTGGCTTTCTTCGCTTCCTTTTGGATCTCCTTCCCAAGTTTGCTTTTGAAAAGCTTTTTGGCCATTTCTCTTTCCCGGAGCCGCACCCGGCGGAAGTCAACCACACGAACCTGAAATAAGACAATAAAGCACTGTTCACTCCGAGACCATAACTAGCCATCAAAGCCAATTTAAGATCAGCACAATGATTAAAATGAACTTACCTAATAAATACTAAGATAATAATCAGCAAGCCATTTGCCATCCATAGCAGCACTATCATAAGAAAAGTTAGTTTAAAATAATTTCTTGAGAAAGGGTTACTGTGAAGTTATCTTATCTTGAGGTAGTTCTGAGGATCATTGTCTTCATGGCCCAGTCTCCACCCAGGCCTTCTGCTAGGTGGTCTGGTCAACCAGGTTGTTAGATGCCGCTGGTTGAAGTCTCGTGTATCAATTACAGCCCGGTTGATCAGGTATCCTTTGAAGGTGTTTTTACATTTATCAAGTGAAAAGTTCATTTTTTTTTAATGTTGAAGGATTTCCCCATTTTGTTCTAAACTGTTCTCTAACAAGTGTAGAGTTCCTTCTCAAGTTTGGGTGACTTCCCTCAATGTGATCTTGCTACTTTTACATCCAATTTTCCTGCCTTCCCAAATGCATTTGTTTGCTAAGGTAAATGCCTTCACTTCAACATACTGTATCTGTATGCTTGTTAGGGTATTTGCAACAAAAAATCCCTGTATTTCAACACATGCTTACTAAGGAAAATCCCTGTATTTCAACACATGCTTACTAAGGGAAATCCCTGCATTTCAACACATGCTTACTAAAGAAAATCCCTATATTTCAACACATTCTTACTAAGGAAAATCCCTGTATTTCGTACCCATTCAAAATGTGTGCGCGGTTGGTTGTGTACGAAATGGACTCTTAGGACCTCCAGTGAGAGGCAACCATCTTGGAAAAAATTCCCAGAATGCCTTAGGGATACTGGCTGGGCTAGTACTGAGTGAGCAACCATAGGTGGTGCACGCACCCCTGCGCCCAAACACCTGTCCGACGCGGTGTTCAAAGATCGTGCTCTGTCGGTGAAATTCAAACCTTATTGTTTGAAGAACATAAGGGTCATGATATTGGTGAAGCTAGGCGCAATAAGGACCTAACACAAAGGTCGGATGCAAGTGATACAGCACCTATGAGGACGATACAGCAGGCGTATCCAGTTGTAGCTCTGAGCGCCACCCTTGCCCACCTATGCCATCTCCAATTTATACAGACGATACATAGATGAATCATTTTCTCCGTTCAGTGATGATGCATCTGATACAAGTAGCATAGATGAACAGCGTTAGCGGCTTCCACGGTGGTGTTTTCCATAGATATTTTCAAGAATTCCTGAATCTCTTCTAGATTGACCGACACTCTTCAAGGGTGGCTGAATTTCTTCCTGTGTGGGACCTTACAAAGCGATCTTTTCAAGAATACCTTACAAACTGATCCTTTCCTATAATTTTTTCAATACTACCTTATGCTTTACAAACTTGGCCACATACCACCTACAAGTACTAAAGCCAAGGAAGTATGTGAGTGTGTTATTTGCAAGCACACAGAACGAAGAAACAGTAAGCAAAAATCTATCTGTACCTGGTGCAACGAGAGCGAAGTCGCGCTGTGCACCACAGACTACTTCACTGATTATTACTCACTTCCGAAGTACTGAGTGTGTAATACAGTGTGTTACTGTGTAAATAGTGTGTGAAACTGTACATATTGTAATTTTAGTGAAATTTTAACAAGTAATATTGCGACAATAAACATTTATTGTGGACACATTACTGACACATGTATCACAGTTCCATGGAACATTATGAACGTTCTACTGTATACATATTGTAAAGGACACAAATATGCATCATTTACGATAAAAAAAAATTAATTGGAAATACATAGAACAAATAATTTAAAATATATTTGTGGTAACTCGCGGTGCTTGAATGGCCCGCGCAACCGTGTCTAGGAGCTTCATGCACGGGCGACCAGCCCCTCATGACGTCACAGTGCACCTTGTCCATGTCCTCACGGCCAAAGTGGAATTTGACATTTATTTTTACACAGACATGTTCAGGGAAGGGAATTCATCATTTTAATAAGAAAAAATAATTTGTTGGGAACACTTGATTTCATGCGCACGGGGAATTTCACAATAAACTTGGCGCATCACAGTGGTTAACACATGATGCAACAAAAGCATCATATATTACAAATTTTTTGTTAAATGGGTTACCTGTGGAAGCTTGTTGATGACATAGAGACGGTAGTGGTCACGAGTGGTTACGGGGTTACCCAGCAGGGACAAGAACTCCAGTCTCTTCAGTCCTGCCAAGTTGTCCAGATCTGCCAACTCCTGTACCAGATTATTAGTCAGGTACACACACTGGAGGTTAGGCACTGTCTCTGCTAGTGTTTCTGAAATTCGACTAAAGAGGAATATAAATTAACACTCAAACATGTACATTATTTACAACATGTACCAGGGCACTCCCTGAGAACCATCTACAAGCACAAGAGAAAACAAAGATTCATAACAATTACTGTACAAAGTTTATAATAAATTAACCTCCCATCCTCGCCCTTTTTTTTTCATTTCTTTCACGTGGGGTGAAGGGGCTCAAATTGGGCGGCTCTTGAGTAAGGGGGCGTGCCGACTCGGGCAACGGGTAACCTGGGCTACCCAGCAATGGACAAGCACATCACGGTCAGGGCGTTTACACTGCCACAATGATGGTTTGCCTTGTTACAAAACGGTCACTAATTTTCTGTAAGCAGTGGCCTCTCTTCTTGCAATTATGCTTGAGGTGGAATTATGGTGGTTTTTTCTTAGTTTCTCAGATGCCTACACTTCCCTCATCTCGTACAGAGAACTAGATCGTCATCCAGGCTCCTGAGAGGCAAGGGTTATTCTCAGAGGTCTGGTGCTCCTCCCTAGGGATTGACTAGACCAGTGCTTATCTCGAGGAGCTACTGAGGGAGCTCTCCAGACAAGGGTGTTTCATTGCATTTAACACTTCGCTTATAGCTCTTCATTTAATTTTGTTCTTCTAATTCATTATACTGATACAAAGGACCACATGGTTTGCGAACTTGAGTTATCCGAAAGTTCCAGTTTCCCAATTGGGGTTGGGGAGTCACACTACACAAGCTAAGTTCGGGTAGGAAGCGGTCCTGCGCTCGCTGGCTGAGCTGGGCTGGGCTGGGCTGGGCTGAGCTGGGCCGGGCTGAGCTGGGCCAGGCTGGGCCGGGCTGAGCTGGGCCGGACTGGGCTGGGCTGGACTGGACTGGGCTGGGCTGGGCTGGGCCGGGCCGGGCTCACTCTGATAAGCCTATCACACTGGACCCCATTAGCCAGATTTGTGTCTTAAATTCTGGATGTACATGATCATATATATTTTTGTTTACAGATTTTGTTTAGTAATATTATTAGGATAATAAAAAGTTATAAAAATACTTGTTTCATGAATGCTTTATTGTATTAGATGGAGATTCTCTGGCTGGCTGGCTACCAAGCTAGCCACCTGGGGGGAGGAGGGCAGCAGTAAGGGGTTGAGTTCTTGCTCTTTGGTACCACCTCTCCTGAGGGAGAAGTGGATCAGGACTTCTCTTATTGGTGAGTGCAAACAAAATACTGTCTCACTTATGCTATGAACCTGTCTATTTTACCCCTTAGATTTTTTATTTTTTTATTTTTTCTCTCCATTTCTTGTTTACGAACTTACACGATAACCGACGAGTCTCGTCCCCAAAGAGTTCGGAAACCAAGTGGTGCTCTGTATATCTTTTATATATATAAAAAAAAATTCTCACTGTAATACAATCAGCCACATGCTTTACAAATGCCATTTTTCCAAAAATGCCTGTTATCCAATTTGGGTTAGTTCAAATAACTGGTGGGCCAGCAGTGTGAATAAAAATGAGCAATAAAGATGGTGGTAGTTTACCCATTGACCGTACACAGCACCACTTGGTCATACACTAATGGATGGCTCAGAAGCTTGCAACTCTGCCATGGCATTAGGTATATTAGAGTACATAGTAAAAGTCTGAGGTTACCTCATCACCATTAATCTCCACTTCAGTCAACCCAACACTATCAGCATCCAACACCACATTTTCAATGTAAATAACAATGCTCCATCATTCCTCCATCTTCAAGTTAACAAGCGGATCGCAACTTCTCTTATTGGTGAAACAAAACACTGCCAAATTTCTGCAAAAAATAATTGTCAATTTTTTCCTTTATCTTTTCAGAATGATGAACCACTTAACCGAACACAACAGGTCATCCATTCAGTCTCGGTCCCGAGGGGTTCGGAAAGCATGTGGCTGACTGTATATCTTTCACTCACAGGTTAAGGTTTCACTCTTGATTACCTGTGGACTATTTCAAGTTCTTCTATTTCAGTCTTTCCTGGTCTGTGAGCTCGACCGCAGGCTTGGTCTGTGAGCTCGACCGCAGGCTTGGTCTGTGAGCTCGACCGCAGGCTTGGTCTGTGAGCTCGACCGCAGGCTTGGTCTGTGAGCTCGACCGCAGGCTTGGTCTGTGAGCTCGACCGCAGGCTTGGTCTGTGAGCTCGACCGCAGGCTTGGTCTGTGAGCTCGACCGCAGGCTTGGTCTGTGAGCTCGACCGCAGGCTTGGTCTGTGAGCTCGACCGCAGGCTTGGTCTGTGAGCTCGACCGCAGGCTTGGTCTGTGAGCTCGACCGCAGGCTTGGCCTGTGAGCTCGACCGCAGGCTTGGCCTGTGAGCTCGACCGCAGGCTTGGCCTGTGAGCTCGACCGCAGGCTTGGCCTGTGAGCTCGACCGCAGGCTTGGCCTGTGAGCTCGACCGCAGGCTTGGCCTGTGAGCTCGACCGCAGGCTTGGCCTGTGAGCTCGACCGCAGGCTTGGCCTGTGAGCTCGACCGCAGGCTTGGCCTGTGAGCTCGACCGCAGGCTTGGCCTGTGAGCTCGACCGCAGGCTTGGCCTGTGAGCTCGACCGCAGGCTTGGCCTGTGAGCTCGACCGCAGGCTTGGCCTGTGAGCTCGACCGCAGGCTTGGCCTGTGAGCTCGACCGCAGGCTTGGCCTGTGAGCTCGACCGCAGGCTTGGCCTGTGAGCTCGACCGCAGGCTTGGCCTGTGAGCTCGACCGCAGGCTTGGCCTGTGAGCTCGACCGCAGGCTTGGCCTGTGAGCTCGACCGCAGGCTTGGCCTGTGAGCTCGACCGCAGGCTTGGCCTGTGAGCTCGACCGCAGGCTTGGCCTGTGAGCTCGACCGCAGGCTTGGCCTGTGAGCTCGACCGCAGGCTTGGCCTGTGAGCTCGACCGCAGGCTTGGCCTGTGAGCTCGACCGCAGGCTTGGCCTGTGAGCTCGACCGCAGGCTTGGCCTGTGAGCTCGACCGCAGGCTTGGCCTGTGAGCTCGACCGCAGGCTTGGCCTGTGAGCTCGACCGCAGGCTTGGCCTGTGAGCTCGACCACAGGCTTGGCCTGTGAGCTCGACCACAGGCTTGGCCTGTGAGCTCGACCACAGGCTTGGCCTGTGAGCTCGACCACAGGCTTGGCCTGTGAGCTCGACCACAGGCTTGGCCTGTGAGCTCGACCACAGGCTTGGCCTGTGAGCTCGACCACAGGCTTGGCCTGTGAGCTCGACCACAGGCTTGGCCTGTGAGCTCGACCACAGGCTTGGCCTGTGAGCTCGACCACAGGCTTGGCCTGTGAGCTCGACCACAGGCTTGGCCTGTGAGCTCGACCACAGGCTTGGCCTGTGAGCTCGACCACAGGCTTGGCCTGTGAGCTCGACCACAGGCTTGGCCTGTGAGCTCGACCACAGGCTTGGCCTGTGAGCTCGACCACAGGCTTGGCCTGTGAGCTCGACCACAGGCTTGGCCTGTGAGCTCGACCACAGGCTTGGCCTGTGAGCTCGACCACAGGCTTGGCCTGTGAGCTCGACCACAGGCTTGGCCTGTGAGCTCGACCACAGGCTTGGCCTGTGAGCTCGACCACAGGCTTGGCCTGTGAGCTCGACCACAGGCTTGGCCTGTGAGCTCGACCACAGGCTTGGCCTGTGAGCTCGACCACAGGCTTGGCCTGTGAGCTCGACCACAGGCTTGGCCTGTGAGCTCGACCACAGGCTTGGCCTGTGAGCTCGACCACAGGCTTGGCCTGTGAGCTCGACCACAGGCTTGGCCTGTGAGCTCGACCACAGGCTTGGCCTGTGAGCTCGACCACAGGCTTGGCCTGTGAGCTCGACCACAGGCTTGGCCTGTGAGCTCGACCACAGGCTTGGCCTGTGAGCTCGACCACAGGCTTGGCCTGTGAGCTCGACCACAGGCTTGGCCTGTGAGCTCGACCACAGGCTTGGCCTGTGAGCTCGACCACAGGCTTGGCCTGTGAGCTCGACCACAGGCTTGGCCTGTGAGCTCGACCACAGGCTTGGCCTGTGAGCTCGACCACAGGCTTGGCCTGTGAGCTCGACCACAGGCTTGGCCTGTGAGCTCGACCACAGGCTTGGCCTGTGAGCTCGACCACAGGCTTGGCCTGTGAGCTCGACCACAGGCTTGGCCTGTGAGCTCGACCACAGGCTTGGCCTGTGAGCTCGACCACAGGCTTGGCCTGTGAGCTCGACCACAGGCTTGGCCTGTGAGCTCGACCACAGGCTTGGCCTGTGAGCTCGACCACAGGCTTGGCCTGTGAGCTCGACCACAGGCTTGGCCTGTGAGCTCGACCACAGGCTTGGCCTGTGAGCTCGACCACAGGCTTGGCCTGTGAGCTCGACCACAGGCTTGGCCTGTGAGCTCGACCACAGGCTTGGCCTGTGAGCTCGACCACAGGCTTGGCCTGTGAGCTCGACCACAGGCTTGGCCTGTGAGCTCGACCACAGGCTTGGCCTGTGAGCTCGACCACAGGCTTGGCCTGTGAGCTCGACCACAGGCTTGGCCTGTGAGCTCGACCACAGGCTTGGCCTGTGAGCTCGACCACAGGCTTGGCCTGTGAGCTCGACCACAGGCTTGGCCTGTGAGCTCGACCACAGGCTTGGCCTGTGAGCTCGACCACAGGCTTGGCCTGTGAGCTCGACCACAGGCTTGGCCTGTGAGCTCGACCACAGGCTTGGCCTGTGAGCTCGACCACAGGCTTGGCCTGTGAGCTCGACCACAGGCTTGGCCTGTGAGCTCGACCACAGGCTTGGCCTGTGAGCTCGACCACAGGCTTGGCCTGTGAGCTCGACCACAGGCTTGGCCTGTGAGCTCGACCCTGTGAGCTCGACCACAGGCTTGGCCTGTGAGCTCGACCACAGGCTTGGCCTGTGAGCTCGACCACAGGCTTGGCCTGTGAGCTCGACCACAGGCTTGGCCTGTGAGCTCGACCACAGGCTTGGCCTGTGAGCTCGACCACAGGCTTGGCCTGTGAGCTCGACCACAGGCTTGGCCTGTGAGCTCGACCACAGGCTTGGCCTGTGAGCTCGACCACAGGCTTGGCCTGTGAGCTCGACCACAGGCTTGGCCTGTGAGCTCGACCACAGGCTTGGCCTGTGAGCTCGACCACAGGCTTGGCCTGTGAGCTCGACCACAGGCTTGGCCTGTGAGCTCGACCACAGGCTTGGCCTGTGAGCTCGACCACAGGCTTGGCCTGTGAGCTCGACCACAGGCTTGGCCTGTGAGCTCGACCACAGGCTTGGCCTGTGAGCTCGACCACAGGCTTGGTCTGTGAGCTCGACCACAGGCTTGGCCTGTGAGCTCGACCACAGGCTTGGTCTGTGAGCTCGACCACAGGCTTGGTCTGTGAGCTCGACCACAGGCTTGGTCTGTGAGCTCGACCACAGGCTTGGTCTGTGAGCTCGACCACAGGCTTGGTCTGTGAGCTCGACCACAGGCTTGGTCTGTGAGCTCGACCACAGGCTTGGTCTGTGAGCTCGACCACAGGCTTGGTCTGTGAGCTTGACCATAGGCTTGGTCTGTGAGCTCGACCACAGGCTTGGTCTGTGAGCTCGACCACAGGCTTGGTCTGTGAGCTTGACCACAGGCTAGGTCTGTGAGCATGTTCGTCTTGGTTATACATACTTCCACACAGCCAGATTGATCTGGTAACTTTAGTAATTAAATAGTCTTGAAACCTTCCACTGTTGTTCCAGTACAGTAATTGTATATTTGTTGACAATGTCAAAAATCAGCTGGAACCATGAGGAGGATTCAAACCTGCAGCCTGCATCAGGTTGATGCCTCAGGACCCCTAGAGGATTCAGGTGAATCCCAGGTTACATTACTTTAGCATATCTTGGTCCAGTGGTTGATGGCGTGTGCACGAGTGTGTCCAGGAGTAGAGGTTCGAATCCTCCTCACGGCTCCTACTGATTTTCTCAAATTTGTATTAATATTACAAACAAAATTATTAATTTTTAATATTAAATTAATAATTTCATAATTGTTAATTTAATTATTAATATTACAAATAAACAATACAGTATATGAACAAAATTACTTCCAAATATTATTGCTGAATAAATAAAGACATACTCACACAATTCTGTTATTATTTAGAAGCAAAGTTTTGAGTCTCTTTAAGAGCGGAAAACCGTCAAGCTTCCTGATATCATTGTCACTGAAGTCAATGGTATCAAACTGATCCAGCGTCGCACCAAGATTCTCAATAACAGGAATTTTATAGCCTGCAAAAAAAAAATGGAAAGCATGAGTTAAGAAAATAAATTCAAAACGAAAAGATAATTATGGAAGGCACATGTGGCCATGCAGCCAGGATAGGTTGCCAGAGTGTAGGAACCGTGCCTAACCACTTGGACCATTGGGCGATTGAAAGCTCACCCTGCAAGATTCAGGGCCTTTGTTATACACCAACTAACTCTTGAAATCTAAAAAATCTAAAATTCTAAATAAGGTAGAGTTTATGTAAAGTATCATTTTGAGCAAATAATTCTGCCACTTCGTAAAGTATACAAGTTTCCAACTTATGATGGGGACGCATTCCTAATTTTCAATTAAAAGTTGACAGGCTTGAACTTGGACCACAATTTTCCATAAGCACAGTACTACATATGAGAAAGAGGCATTTCTAAAGTACCAATGTTTGGTATGTATAGAGTACATACCATTTCATTCAACTGGGCCCTCAGAGTCTCGAACCACCAACCACAAGAGCGTGTAACTCTAACCACCACACCACTGAACACCCACAATAAAGGAGGATCTCAAACACACACAACTAGTATGCAACTGAGACTTGAGGTCTACCCTGGGGGGTGCCACTTGAGCATGAAGGTATAAGGTGAGCCACGCCTCCAGGCATATAAACTAACCACAACAAATGTGGATAACAACATATTATACAGTAGACAGTAGCTTTAATCACTCCAATTGATGTTCTCATTGATATATATATCCAGTACTGTATATAGTATCAAGTTTGTGAGATTTCTTTGTGTACTGACATTTTTTTTATTGATAAACCCTCTAAACATATTATTCTCTTAATATTCATTTCCTATTCTGTTGCTCTATGCACCCTAGATGGTATCTCCTTTTCCAAACATTCAAAAATTATTATAGACGTACTGTACTTCTATCTACAGTGTTCTGTAGTAATTTACTGGTAATAACCAATTCTTTCTCAATTGTCTGTCTAATATCAGCTCCTTCCATCCTTGATCTCCAAACATACTACAGCTCTTTGATTTTATCTCTTTTTACAACTTCTGCATGTGTTTCTTTCATGGGTGTGGGTGGGGCGGCAGTGTAGTGTTGTGGGGTGTGGGTGGGGAGGCAGTGTAGTGTTGTGGGGTGTGGGTGGGGAGGCAGTGTAGTGTTGTGGGGTGTGGGTGGGGAGGCAGTGTAGTGTTGTGGGGTGTGGGTGGGGAGGCAGTGTAGTGTTGTGGGGTGTGGGTGGGGAGGCAGTGTAGTGTTGTGGGGTGTGGGTGGGGAGGCAGTGTAGTGTTGTGGGGTGTGGGTGGGGAGGCAGTGTAGTGTTGTGGGGTGTGGGTGGGGAGGCAGTGTAGTGTTGTGGGGTGTGGGTGGGGAGGCAGTGTAGTGTTGTGGGGTGTGGGTGGGAGGCAGTGTAGTGTTGTGGGGTGTGGGTGGGGAGGCAGTGTAGTGTTGTGGGGTGTGGGTGGGGAGGCAGTGTAGTGTTGTGGGGTGTGGGTGGGGAGGCAGTGTAGTGTTGTGGGGTGTGGGTGGGGAGGCAGTGTAGTGTTGTGGGGTGTGGGTGGGGAGGCAGTGTAGTGTTGTGGGGTGTGGGTGGGGAGGCAGTGTAGTGTTGTGGGGTGTGGGTGGGGAGGCAGTGTAGTGTTGTGGGGTGTGGGTGGGGAGGCAGTGTAGTGTTGTGGAGTGTGGGTGGGGAGGCAGTGTAGTGTTGTGGGGTGTGGGTGGGGAGGCAGTGTAGTGTTGTGGGGTGTGGGTGGGGAGGCAGTGTAGTGTTGTGGGGTGTGGGTGGGGAGGCAGTGTAGTGTTGTGGGGTGTGGGTGGGGAGGCAGTGTAGTGTTGTGGGGTGTGGGTGGGGAGGCAGTGTAGTGTTGTGGGGTGTGGGTGGGGAGGCAGTGTAGTGTTGTGGAGTGTGGGTGGGGAGGCAGTGTAGTGTTGTGGGGTGTGGGTGGGGCGGCAGTGTAGTGTTGTGGGGTGTGGGTGGGGCGGCAGTGTAGTGTTGTGGGGTGTGGGTGGGGAGGCAGTGTAGTGTTGTGGGGTGTGGGTGGGGAGGCAGTGTAGTGTTGTGGGGTGTGGGTGGGGAGGCAGTGTAGTGTTGTGGGGTGTGGGTGGGGAGGCAGTGTAGTGTTGTGGGGTGTGGGTGGGGAGGCAGTGTAGTGTTGTGGGGTGTGGGTGGGGAGGCAGTGTAGTGTTGTGGGGTGTGGGTGGGGAGGCAGTGTAGTGTTGTGGGGAGGCAGTGTAGTGTTGTGGGGTGTGGGTGGGGTGGCAGTGTAGTGTTGTGGGTGGGGAGGAAGTCTCCAAATTGATTGCTTTTCCTTTGGGAACTGGTTTAACTCCTAGTACACAAAGCCCCAAGAGATTCCCAGCAGGAAACTGCAGCTTAACCGACTGCTGGTGGAAAGGATGAGGAACCCCACAGAAATCCCCCCCCCCCCCGCCCCAGCCATAAAGGAGCTGCAAAGTCCTAAGACTACAATTGCCTTGGAACCAGGACCAGAGAGGAAGCAGCAGCCATCCACACCACAGTAGCACTGCAAAAGACTGAAATAAACATAGTTAATATGTAACATGTCAGAAGGCCGGGGATGACGACTAGCCCCACAGGTGGGCTGGTGGAGACAAAGTATTGTTAGCAACATAAAACAATATTGGATAGTATTCAGATATCTCACATGCTATTGATATCCCAACACCCTGATAATGACAGGGTGGACAAAGACAAATTATTTACCGTGGGTGGGACACGAACAAGGGGACACAAGTGGAAACCGAGTACCTAAATGAGGCACAGAGACATTAGGATTTTTTTTTTCAGTGTCAGGGTAATTAACACTTTCACGCACCCGTCGCGCCACCCCTCAACTGTGCGATGTGGGTCCCAGCGTTTCACGGGAACGCGCGTTAATTCTGAAAAGTGTATACTCTCTTCAACTTTGTCACCTCAATTCTCGTCCTACGAGATTAAATTTGGTATCATTGTGTTCGCAATAGAATTCTCTACAGCACTAAATGCATATAAACTCCAAAAGCCCGGCTAATTACCCGCAGCAAACAGAGAAAGTACGAACGAGTTACCCAGGAGCACGCAAAAGCGATAAAATGTGTTCACTCTTTTCACTCTGGTCACCTCAATTTTCGTCCTAGGTCTTTCATTTTGGTATCAATGGGTTCGCAATAGAATTCTCTAGAGGAATATTAGCATATAAAATAAAAAACCTGGTCACGCTCCAACCGCCGACGAGTTAAAGACGGGCCACGCGTTTGCCGCAAGTGAGCGCCCAGAAGCCTTCCAGCTACACTCCCAATTCCTGCCCACAAATGTTTAGTATTATTACTTGTTGCTAATCTCAATTTTCATGTTACAGTGCTCATTTAGGTATGAAATTGTTCCTAATAGAATGCTTTAGATGGATATAGTGCGTATATCCGTGCGTAATAGTGGCTTTAGGCATTGTATGTACTAGCTCTATCTATAAAGCCAACAAACTTTGTAAAATCTCTTTATGTATGTACCTTACCTAAATAAAAAAATAGATATGTGCATATAAGGGCCAATTGAAGAACAATATTGCCAGTACAATATGCGAAAGTATGAACAAAAAAAAATACACAAAATAATACAATTTTTTGTACTTACCACCTCAGTGTTGTGTGTTGAACATGACATAGGCGTGTAGGGAAGACATAGGCGCGCATTTTAAAACCAGTCCCCAAAAAATCGGATAAAAACCTGATTTTTGGCGATTATTTTAGTGGATGATGCAGCATTGCGTCGTCCCCGAGATTACCGACAGTAAACTGATGACGCAGCATTGCGTCATGCCCGGACGAAAGTGTTAATTAACAAATGGAATGTATTAGGCAGTGATGTGGTGGAGGCTGACTCCATACAGTTTCAAATGTAGATATGATAGAGCCCAAAAGGCTCAGGAACCTGTACACCAGTTGATTGACAGTTGAGAGACGGGACCAAAGAGCCGAAGCTCAAACTCCTGCAGGCACAACTAGGCAAGTACACTGTGGGAACAGGCATGGAGAGAAGGCCCAAGAAATTCACAAAAGCACATAAAGCCAGTGGGGACTCATGAGCATGAAGCCACAAGAGCAGAGGGGATACCCACTGAACGAGCCTCTGGCCTCAGGCTGAGTCAGGGAGTAGAACAACCCACAAAACCCTCTCCAGGTATGCTCCAGATATGAACAATGCCTAGCCCCAGTCCTGAGAAAATTCTGCGAGGAAAGGCACATTCAGGCGAAGATCTGATTTCCAATCCATACTTCCATCCCTAAAATAGAACAACAGGTAAACCCAACCATTTGTACAATACCCGACGACAGTAATGTTGGCTGTTGATGTTTGTTACCTCTGAGGATAAGTTCTCTATCCCGGAGTGGGTTGATGTGTTGCGCCGACTGGATAATGAGCTCAGGTGTGAGTTTCACCATTGTGTATGACTTGTATAGTGAGCACAAGTGAATAACTTCAAGTAATGTGCAGGTGTGTTGGAGACCAGACAGCAGCAGCAGCAGGCGCGTCGCACCATCTCGCTCCACCAACGTTTGTTTACATCCTGGAGTGAACCTGTCTGATGGTTCCATTTACTACCTCAAACATAAAATCATATAATTTCAAATTAGCTTCTTAACTGGAAGGCATTATAGACATATATAATATTTTGTCATAATATTTTATATAGCACTCATAATATTAATAAATAATAATAATGTGTCCCGGTAGTACAGTCGGGTTCGTTCTCAACTCATAATAGACAATACCAGAGTTCGAATCCCGAGCGGAACAGAAATGGTTGGGCGCGTGTCCTATCGCCTAAGACACCTGTTCACCTAGCAGTGAATAGGTAGGAGTTAGTCCGCTTGAGCAATTATAGGGGGGAGGGAGGGAACTATGAGGGGAAAGCGCCAAGCCATTACGACTATATAGCACTGGGAAGGGGTCAAGATAAGCTTGCGGGCTATTCATGCCCGTGCCACCTCTTGGGTGGCTTAATCTTTATCAATCAGTCATCATCAAGATAAGGATTTGGGATGGGACGGGGGAAAGGAATGATGCCCAACCCCTTGGACGGTCGGGGATTGAACGCCGACCTGCATGACGCGAGCCTAACATGTATGAATACACTGGCTGCCTGTCCCCCGACACAATGAATTATTTTAATATAATAAACAAAAATCGTGGCTCAAGCTCCTCATAGGAAATACAATACAATACAATACAATACAATACAATACAATTTTATTTAGGTAAGGTACTTACATACAATAAATATTTACAAGGATTGTTTGACTTATAGGTAGAGCTAGTACATACAATGCCTAAAGCCACTATTACGCAAAGCGTTTCGGGCATGATAAACTTAAATGACAAGCTTAATACTAATTGAGCATAATGAGTAGAATGAAAACAAGAAATGAAAACATAGATGAAAAAGCAGCACAAATACAATTATGTCGACAAACAGCGCTCTTTAAAGAAAAAAACAGACCTTGGTTGACAATAGAAGGGTAAGGTAGGTTACAGGGAATTTATTAGGTATAGCTTCGCTTTTAACTTAAACTGGTTGAGAGAGGTACAGTCTTTAACATGGTTGGGAAGGTCATTCCACATTCTGGGCCCCTTGATTTGTAGAGCATTTCTAGTTTGATTAAGTCGTACTCTAGGAATATCAAAACTGTATTTATTTCTGGTGTGGTGCTCATGGGTTCTGATACAACCTTCTATGAAGCTTTTGAGATCAGGATTGGCATTATAGTTTAGCGTTTTATATATGTATAATACACATGAGAGAATGTGCAGTGACTTAATGTCTAACATATTCAGAGATTTAAGTAGGGGTACCGAGTGATGTCTGGGGCCAGAATTGGATATTGTCCTAATAGCAGCTTTGTGTTGAGTGATTAGAGGACGTAAGTGATTTTGGGTAGTAGAGCCCCAAGCACAAATACCATAGTTGAGATATGGATAGATAAGGGAGTAATAGAGAGTCACCAGGGCAGGGCGTGGTACATAATATCTGATCTTAGAAAGAATGCCCACAGTTTTTGAAACTTTTTTTGATATGTTTAGAATGTGTCCCTGGAAATTAAGCTTGTGGTCAATGAGAATGCCAAGGAATTTGCCATCTAATTTGTTACAAATTTGGGTATTGTTTATTTTGAGATTTATTTGATTAGAGGATTTATTGCCAAACAGAATATAAAAGGTTTTGTCAATGTTAAGGGTGAGTTTGTTGGCAGTTAGCCACAGATGGACTTTATTTAGCTCAGTATTTACTGTGGCATTTAGAGCAAGGGGATCAGGACTGGAGTAAATGAAGGTTGTGTCGTCAGCAAATAGAATTGGTTTGAGGTGTTGGGAGGCATTTGGAAGGTCATTAATGTAGATGAGAAAGAGGAGAGGGCCAAGTATGCTGCCCTGGGGAACACCAATGTTGATGGGTAGGGTGGGAGAAATTGTATTATTCACAGAAACATATTGGAGCCTGTCAGTAAGGTAGGATTTGAGGTATTGTAGGGAGTGTCCTCTGACTCCATAATGATGTAATTTAAGAAGAAGGTTTTGGTGGTTGACAGTGTCAAAAGCTTTACGCAGGTCCACAAACAACCCAACAGAGAACTCATTTTTATCAAGAGCTGTATGAATTGAGTTAAGCATACTAATAAGTGCATCGTTAGTGCTTTTTTTGGGTCTGAAGCCATATTGGCAAGGGCTAAGTATATTGAGTTTGGCTAGATATGAGTAAAGCTGCTTATAGATTAGTTTTTCAAAAATTTTTGACAAGTTTGGCAGGATAGATATAGGTCTGTAGTTGTTAACATCTGTGAGATTACCACATTTGTGGACAGGCGTTACTCTCGCTTTTTTTAGAATATCTGGGAAGGTTTGGAGTTCAAGTGACTTGTTGAAGAGCAAAGCAATAGCAGGGGCTAAAGATCTGGAGGCTTTTTTGTAAATTAAAGTTGGTATCTCCTCAAGGGCACCAGACTTGGTTTTAAGGGAAAGGATTATCTCATTGACGTCAGTGGAATTAATAGGCTTTAGGTACAGAGACTGTGGATAGTTACCTGAAAGATAGTCATTAATGTCTGTACTGGAAGATGGAATATCATTTGCAAGGGATGAACCAATGGAAGAGAAGAACCTATTGAACTCAGTAGCAGAATGTATGTTTATCTCTCAATGTTCGGTAATACGTTTATTGCTTGTGATGTGTGTCTATGTACGTATTAACACGATGTGCTGAACAGGGTGATAATAGCTTGAGCTACCTCATCCCTTTGTGTGTATTTTACCTCGATAAACTTATTTCAATTTCAATTTTTCAAAGCGCCTCGTGACTGTCATTTGAATTTAGTGACTTGTGGGAGATCAGCAGACTGGTCGTCTGCACCATAACAATATGTCCGATTCCCTTAACATAGATATGAACACTATTTAATTGTACATTTTGCCACCATTTACAAGTATTTACATATGCACCATGATTGAGTAGAAATATAAAAATATTTTTATTTCAATCTTGTCGAGAAAGGAATTCTGAAATAAACTGAAATCTTACAAAGGAAAATTCTTATTTAACACTTCCGGACAGAGGCTAATCTATGACAGACAAAATTACCAACATTACACAAAAGTAACTAAAAATATATTTGTTTAACTTGGAATAGTTAATTTTTTCTTCACCATAAGTATGCATATAAATAAGATATTTTGATATATAATTTATACAGTACAGTGTAGTAAGCAAAAAGCTGCATATTAGATTTATAAATTTATATGAAGGGTTGGCAGCCATGAGGAGGTGCATCCCGTGACTTCAGTAGACATCCGCCACAGGTGATCGCTGCTGCTACGACAACATGTCCAAGGTTCCCACCCCCATGGCAATGCCCACCCTCCCGGAGGACATAGACAGAGGTAGGGGGCGGTGTGACTGAGGTTAAGCTGTCACTGGTGAACCTTAAGATAAACAGGCGGTACTCAGGTGGGTGTCGGGGTTTGCTCGACTTAGGGCACTGTTGCCCCAATTTCAACTTTCTTCATATCTAATTAACTAACCTAGCCTTAACTAACAATATTAACCTATTGGCAACTCGTCGTAATGATATGTAAAACTCTCCAAGAAGGTAACATGGTACAACAGATTTTCTCTGCTTGATAATGATAATTCCTAATCAGTCTCCGTGGTGCAGTGGTAAGACACTCGCCTGGCGTTCTGCGAGCGCTTTGTCCTGGGTTCGTATCCTGGCCGGGGAGGATTTACTGGGCGCAATTCCTTAACTGTAGCCTCTGTTTAACGCAACAGTAAAATGTGTACTTGGTTGTAACAACGATTCTTCGCGGCGGGGATCGTATTCCAGGGACCTGCCCCTAGACGCTACACATACTAGTGGCTCTACAACAAATGTAACAACTCTTGTATATATCTAAAAAAAAAAAAAAAAAAAAAAAAAAAACACATTCACCTCCTCTGCCCTCCACCCTCCTCCACCCCCCCTTAAAAGTAAAAAACAAAAATTCACTTTTACTGCCATTCCCATTGTTCAGCATGAAAGGGGGAAACATTCTTACTATAGTTACACTCCTTATGGTTGCCCACTAAGAGACAGGTAACCAGTTAGACTTACCAAGGTCCCCCATAGCCTTCTCCACAACACTTGCCTAACTCCAGGTACCTATTTACTGCTAGGTGAGCATAAGCATCATGGGAAAGGAAAAAAGTCCAAACATCTCGTCACAACCAGGAATCTATCTGGGGTCCAGTCAGTTGTGGGCCAACTGATAGTCACTGCGCTGCAGGTCACTGATGTATACGGTAACATAGCATCTTCTTTTATGTGTGTGTGTGTGTATATATATAATGGAAACATGTATATACCATGTACAGTATGACATCTAGTTTGGCTCATAAAGATGGGTCTAATCATGGGGTGTATTTCTCTGCTATGTATTTGGGTTCTTTAAAAGTATCGTCAATATGAAAGCTTTTCACCACCTTATGTCTTCACGACTTTCTGAGTAACCCTAATTTAACCCTAAATCAACCTAACCTAATCCCAACCTTAAACCCAACCTTAAACCCATCCCTAAACCCATCCCTAAACCCATCCCTAAACCCATCCCTAAACCCATCCCTAAACCCAACCTTAAACCCATCCCTAAACCCATCCTTAAACCCATCCCTAAACCCATCCCTAAACCCAACCCTAAACCCAACCCTAAACCCAACCTTAAACCCAACCTTAAACCCATCCCTAAACCCATCCCTAAACCCATCCCTAAACCCATCCCTAAACCCATCCCTAAACCCATCCCTAAACCCATCCCTAAACCCATCCCTAAACCCAACCCTAAACCCAACCCTAAACCCAACCTTAAACCTATCCCTAAACCCAACCCTGAACCCAACCCTAAACCCAACCTTAAACCCAACCTTAAACTCATCCCTAAACCCAACCTTAAACCCATCCCTAAACCCAACCCTAAACTCAACCCTAAACCCAACCCTAAACCCAACCCTAAACCCAACCCTAAACCCAACCCTAAACCCAACCTTAAACCCAACTTTAAACCCATCCCTAAACCCATCCCTAAACCCAACCTTAAACCTGTCCCTAAACCAACCCGTTCTCGCACTTTCGTATAGTCAATATTGACTTATTAAATACGTGCATATGTGACATACTAAACATACTAGTTTACCTTGAAAAGCTTCATAGAAAATACCGACCTTACCTAACCTTCTTAGTATGTTAAGATAAGCATCTTATTGCTTCGTAATTACAATTATTACTTAACCTATTATAGGTATAGGTTAAGTAATAATTGTAATTACTAGTAATAATTGTAACCTATTATAGGTATAGGTTAAGTAATAATTGTAATTACAAAGCAATAAGATGCTTATCTTAACATACTAAGAAGGTTAGGTAAGGTCGGTGTTTTCTATGAAGCTTTTCAAGGTAAACTAGTATGTTTAGTATGTCACATATGCACGTATTTAATGTCAATATTGACTGTAAGAAAGTGCGAGAACGGGTTGCCCTAAACCTATCCCCAAACCCAACCCTAAACCCAACCTTAAACCCAACCTTAAACCCAACCCTAAACCCAACCTTAAACCCAACCCTAAACCCAACCTTAAACCCAACCTTAAACCCAACCCTAAACCCAACCTTAAACCCAACCTTAAACCCAACCTTAAACCCATCCCTAAACCCATCCCTAAACCCATCCCTAAACCCAACCTTAAACCCAACCTTAAACCCATCCCTAAACCCATCCCTAAACCCATCCCTAAACCCATCCCTAAACCCAACCTTAAACCCATCCCTAAACCCAACCTTAAACCCATCCCTAAACCCAACCTTAAACCCATCCCTAAACCCAACCCTAAACCCAACCCTAAACCCAACCCTAAATTCAACCCTAAACCCAATCCTAAACCCAATCCTAAAACCAATCCTAAACCCAACCCTAAACCCAATCCTAAACCCAACCCTAAACCCAACCCCAACTCTAACCCCAGGGTTGCTTTTTGGTCTTACCAACATTGTAAGTGGTTTCATGAATATATATATCATATTATAAGCATTAGTAACAGTTAATGCAACACATAAAACCTTCAGAACTGAAGGGCAAGAGCTACGAAGAGAGATTAGAGGCATTAAATATGTCAAAACTAGAAGATAGAAGAAAAAAAAGAGGTGATATGATCACTATGTACAAAATAGTAACAGAAATTGATGAAATTGATAGGGAAGATTTCCTGAGACCTGGAACTTGAAGAACAAGAGGTCATAGATTTACACTAACTAAACAAAGATGCCGAAGAAATTATAATGTACGATTACGTTACGTTGTTGGGTAGATTAGATACACATTGTTTAGTGAGTTTTCATATTTATTTAGTAGTCTTGATTACAGCAGTCAGTTGGTGGCATTGTCGTAAACGTTCAGACGGAGTTTGGAGCAGAGCAGAGAGCTGAGTGAGGCCGGAGTCGCGGAGCTCTATGTGGGAGTGTGGTGGCTCAATTGGGAATTGTGAGTGTCTGAACTTGGGGAACGAGAGTGTGGCGGCTCGGTTGGGAATTGCGAGTGTCTGAACTCGGGGAGCGAGAGCATTGTAGCTCGATGCGGTTGTAGTCTGCTGTCTACTCTGTGTCGAAGCTGTAGCGTCTTGGGTCAATTAGAACTGTACACGCCGAGTGCTACATTGTTGACTGTGGGAATTGTACTGTCCGCTATTCCGATTGATGAAGATTAAGCCACCCAAAAGGTGGCACGGGCATGAATAGCCCGTAAGTGGTGGCCCTTTTGAGCCATTACCAGTATCATTAGCTGATACTGGAGATCTGTGGAGGTGCGACTGCACCCTGCGTGACGGGAGATGTCTCCCGTCACGCTATTCCTCATATCGCTTGCTTATATGGTGACTACACCTCAGCTCCCTCCAACAAGATGAGAATAATATTATCTGTAATTGGGGAAAGGATTGTAGCTTCTGTAATTAGTGCTAATTAGTTATGCTATTAAGATAATGAGTTAATGGAGCGAGTATAAGGGTTACTTGCTACAAAATATAAGAAAATTCACTTTCGCAAAAAGAGTTGTAGACGGTTGGAACAAGTTAGGTGAGAAGGTGGTGGAGGCCAAAACCGTCAGTAGTTTCAAAGCGTTATATGACAAAGAGTGCTGGGAAGACGGGACACCACGAGCGTAGCTCTCATCCTGTAACTACACTTAGGTAATTACATGATCGATGTGCACCAAAATTTTAGAATTATCTCGGCTGACTGATGTGATGTAATGTAATGTTCCAACAACAGCCACTCTCCAACTTTTGGTTGGATAATCATCTGCCACAGATGTCAGGGAAACACTCCATCAGATCACTTTTTGTATCTGAAGAGAGTTCCTGACACTCATGAATTTCAACTACATTATTACAGTTTTACTTTACTGTTGCTTGAAAACCATTCAAATTACAAACAAAATTTTAAATAACATACAGTACTTCCAAAATCTGTATTAACAAAACCCGTTTTAACTTGTATATACAATATATAAATAAACGTAAGTATATGAATGAAAACTATTTCCAGCCCATACACTCCCAGTACGCCTAAAATTGCTTCAATTTGTATTGTCTGTATTGCTTTTGTTTGTGTACCTGTCTTGTAATGTTCAGAACTGTGGGTATTAACCTAGCTGTAATCAGGGTTATGTTGAACATGTAGTGAAATATTAGAATATAAATTCTCTCTGTCCAGCTCCTCCCATATGTCATTGGACCAGGGAGAATGGCCTTGAGCCGGTGTCCTTCTGTGTTAACGTAATGAATGTTTAGACCACTCGTACACGCTTTGTCAGGGAAGTCATCCTTCAGAAACGAGTGTACGCCATTCATAAATTATGTTCAGTTTCTTAAATAGTTTAGTATAGCCTATTGCCTATGTATCTTTTACAAATTAATTTTGGTTGTGTATCAATGCATTAACATCACTGTGTATGTATAAATGAGTATTTTATAAGAGGCTGTACATGATCGAGTTGGTTATGAAGATGATTGTGCAGTGGACAAAAATAGATTTGTTTACAATTTAACCCAATAATACTTTATTTCCGGGGTTAGGGGTTGCCATGACTAAGGGCTGCATGCACTAGTTGTTCTGCAATTCCTAGGAAAAGGAATAGCTGTCTTATAGACAGCATGGCTTATAGACTCCTATGCATTGCTTGCAGGAAATGGAATGGGAGTTGGACTATGCTGTGTTTGGGGTTATCTAATCCAGCACTGTTGACAAGTGGGAAAGTGGGGTAAGAAATTTGAAGTGGAACAGACCATAATGCATTTGTATTCATATAGTGTGAGGTTTCCAGCCATAAAGCAAAAAGTATTCCATTATATCCTCCTGGCCTGGGCACCATTAGCAGAATGGGGAGTCTGGTAGCTGTAGACAATATTCACCTAGTCGTATTCGCCTAGTTGTGCTTGCGGGGGGTTGAGCTCTCCTCTTTTGTCCCGCCTCTCAACTGTCAATCAGTCAACTGTTACTAACTACAGTTAACTATTTTTTTTCTCCACTCATACGCCCAGGAAGCAGCCCATAACAGCTGTCTAACTCCCAGGTACCTATTTTACTACTAGGTAACAGGGGCATCAGGGTGAAATAAACTGCCCATTTTGTTTCTGCCATCACTGGGAATCGAACCCGGACTCTAGGATTACGAGTCCAGAAAGCTGTCCACTTGGCTATCAGGCCCCTGATGTTAGTGAAGATGTTCTGCTGGTATTGTATGCTCGGTTCTTGGCTAATTAATAATAATAATAATTTTTATTCAGGTAAAAGTACATACATACAAAATGAGTTACAAAACAGAATGTTGGAGTTCTAGATAGAGCTACAGTACATACTATGCCTAAAGGCACAATATGCACAGCATTTTAGGCAAACACATTAACAGTAGTGTTCAGCCACTGATCCTGATGTCATGCCCGTGGCAGGAAAAAGCATCAGTGCCCATTGTGGCCGGTTGAGCGGTCAAAACTGCTGGAGCAAGCTCCTCCCTCCATAACATTATGTTCCATGTTAATTACTATTGCCAATGGAAAACATATAAATAATGTTACTGATAAAAACCTCTGAAATGAATTGTAACAATCTGCTGTACTGTATATGATGATGGCAGAGTGTTGTGTAGATAAAACACCTGCGAAGGTATGAACCAAAGTTTGGTGATGACTGGAATTATGTCTTGTGGTGAGCATCCAGCCCGAGCAGGGTCAACATCTGGCCAGGAGTTATGGTTTATGAGATTTACCATAGTTGGAGAGAGAGAACCTGTTAGGCTTATCAAGGTACCCCAAGACCAACTACTGACCTTCTCCAGGATGCAACCCAACACAGTTGCCTAACACCCAGGTACCTATTTGCAGCTAGGTGAACAGTGGCATTAGGTGAACGAAAATATGACCAATTATATCTGTACTACCTGGGGATCAAATCCGAGACCCTCACTTGTGAGTCGAGGATGTAGACCACTGGTTTACACTCATGTTTAAAGTTTCACATCATAAATATGTGGAACATGTTTCTAATATAACAAGGTTATAGACATGAACAGGAATTTAGCAAAATATTAACTGCCTGAAGAATGCAACTACACTAGAATCTGGTGTCAAGCTACTTGTACTCAGTCACAGACTGTAAATTAACGACTGGATATTCTTAAGAGTTGTCTTAAAGTTCAACAGTTGCGAATATTTCTGGGAGCACTCTGCCCAACCACTTGGGCTGGTCGGTAGAGCGAGGGTCTCGCTTCATGCAGGTTGGCATTCAATCTCCGACTGTCCAAGTGGTTGGGCACCATTCCTTTCCCCCCGTCCTGTCCCAAATCCTTATCCTGATCCCATCCAAGCACTGTATAGCTTGGTGCTTTCCCTGATAATTCCCTTCCCTCTCAGTAACATGTGATGCTCAACATTGATCAAGCCAAGCCTTAGAGAAACGCCGCTACAAGTCTCGGAGACCCCTCCTTAACTGCTGGCAGTCAGGACCAGAATATAGCTCTCTTCATGAAGTAAGACATCTTGGGGACCAGAGACGTACCCAAAACTGAGAACTCCCCCACAAGAGAGTACTATACAAGTACAACACAACGAGTAACTATTGAAAGAAATGTAACAAGGCAAATAATCATGGTCTTGATATGGATGTGATGAAAAGCATGTCAGATGTGCATGGTTTGTGGAATATAGAAGGTTCTCTTGTGTTGTATTTTGATCTTTAAAGAAAGCGAAAAATTTGGTCTCTTTTTTTTTTTTATTATTATTATTATTATTATTATTATTATTATTATTATTATTAATCCTCTAAACTTAACTTGTCCTAATTATTATACAGGTGTGGCAGGGGCAACAAGTGTGTTGGTGCAGCGAGCCAATGAGATCCGCCAGCAGAAGGTCAATTGGCCTTCATACCTCCAGTAAGTGATGATTATAACTACTTTCTCCCAGGTCATCCTGTACTAGCCAGCCCCATGAATTCTGGTACAGTATCTCTGTATCTTGTATTGCTTCTCTATGCCTTGCCCAACTTGGTGAAACATTTATCACATAACCTGTCCTCTCGATAAGTTGTGTTTTTTACGTTACTGATACGATAATGACATTACAAATGTATCCTATAATGAAAAGTAATGGGTCTGTCGAGTCTGGCCTCAGGCCAAGCTTGGGGAGTAGAAGAACCCTCGAAACCCTCTCCAGGTATGCTCCGGGTAATAGCTTACAAATACAGTACAGTACTGTATCCTTCCAAGTACGAATCCCTCCAGGGGCGTGTGATTCTCCTGGCTCCATGGTGGCTGGCCCAGTCTTCGTTTCAGGCATTGCTTGCTCGGTGTCCGAACCCGAGAGTTTTTCCGCGGGTCCGCTTCTTTCAGCAGGTCGGGGCAGTGAGGTACCATGCTGGTTTGCCCTACTCTTCCGCTCTTCGCGTTTGGTGTTTTTGACACAAGTGTATCACCATTTATATGGTGATCAGGTGCCTTCTCTGATGATGTCCCACCCGTGGTCTTCATTTCGGCAACAGTATGAAGTCTCGTGGCATTCTTTTTGCCATTCCCTTTCTCTTCGTAGGTTGTCTTCCATTTCTGATTGTTTTTTTTGTTATTTCTCTCCTGGCTTTTTCAGGACCGGGGGTCTGTTGCTTCTTATCGTGAGGTGCTGGCAGAGCTGCTTCAGATTGCGTTCGGGGTAGATGTCACTTCTGCTTCGTTCCGCAAGCTCTCTCGTACATTTTTTCACCTCCGGTCTGCTCATGCACCGCCTGAGCCATGCTGGTCTTTGGAGTGTGTGCTCTCTATTCTCTCTTCTCTGTTTGTTGTGGCCCCTTCGGTTCAAGATTGCTTTGGAAGGCTTTGTTTTTGTTGGCTTTAGCTTCTGGGGGTTGGATTACCTGGTTGATACCTGGTTGATGGGGTTCTGGGAGTTCTTCTACTCCCCAAGCCCGGCCCGAGGCCAGGCTCGACTTGTGAGAGTTTGGTCCACCAGGCTGTTGCTTGGAGCGGCCCGCAGGCCCACATACCCACCACAGCCCGGTTGGTCCGGCACTCCTTGGAGGAATAAATCTAGTTTCCTCTTGAAAATGTCCACGGTTGTTCCGGCAATATTTCTTATGCTTGCTGGGAGGACGTTGAACAACCGCGGACCTCTGATGTTTATACAGTGTTCTCTGATTGTGCCTATGGCACCTCTGCTCTTCATTGGTTCTATTCTACATTTTCTTCCATGTCGTTCACTCCAGTACGTTGTTATTTTACTGTGTAGATTTGGTACTTGGCCCTCCAGTATCTTCCAGGTGTATATGAAATGCCATTATCTGGGTTGAGCCATGGAGGCTCCCTGACACCCTCCCTCCCTCCCTCCGGTTGGCGTTTATATTTTCATTTATTTTCAGTCTCCAATTGTAGAGCTTCATGCTCTCCTCCTCTCTTTCAGTCTCTCCAGATTGTAGAGCTTCATGCTCTCCTCCAGCACAGGGGTTTCTGCTCCTTTGGTTGTGGTGATTGTTTTGTACGTTTGCAGCCATTTTCTTCTTTTCTGGCGAAGAGTGAGACAGCGGGCTTCTGTAGTGGTCTGTGGGTTATTGACGCATGGTTAGTCAGGCCTGGGGTCCTTCGTGTTTTGTGTCCGGTTGCAGCTCTCCGCCATCATTTGCGCGCCGCGGGTTATGTGTCCGGGGACGCGCTTTGAGTAGATCCAGTGTCCCTTGTTCCTTGTTCCAGGGCTCGGGTCTCTCAGGTTCTCCGCAGGGTTATCAAGTCTAGCCAGCATTCGGTCTAACCTCGTGCTCGTAATGTGTGCAAGTTTGCAGCTCTTGCTTTCATTTATGGTAATATGTGGGGCTGACATTTGGGCACGGGGGTTTTGGAGGTCGAACAGGGTCCTGGCCGCCCGTTATCTTGTGAACATTCTAGGTCCTCTGCGGCCTTATGTGGCCTTGGGCCGTCAGTTGCAGCCAGTTGTCCCATCTTCGTCATGAGGCATGTGATGCTGCTGCCTCCCGGGTAAGTTTCCTTTTCCCTTCTCTGCGGGTAGATAGCTTCAGGGAGCCATAGGGGTTTTCCCCAGAAAACCAGCATTGAATGTAATGAAATGCCATTATCTGGGTTGAGCCATGGAGGCTCCCTGACACCCTCCCTCCCTCCCTCCGGTTGGCGTTTATATTTTCATTTATTTTCAGTCTCCAAACAGCACTTGGTCGCCCAGGGCGGTGCCCCCTTCAGGGTGGGGGAGGGGTTGCTAACGAGTGAGTGTGCTGGTTTAGTGGATGTTTCCTTATTTGTTGTTTCTTCTTGGGGGGAGTTCTTGGACTGTTTGGTCTTGGGTTTTAATGTTTTACCAGTTGGTGTTTGTAATGGTCCTCCTACCTTTCTGTGTGATACCTCCGGTCAATGGCAGACATAACTAGACACTCACAAAGTGGAGTGTTTCATAAGCCATTGCTCCCATCGCCTCTCTGAGAGAACCAGGTTCTGGCTCGTGGTTCCCGGTAGGCTCAAAACGCCAGTTAACTGATGCTCTAGACTACTATAATGGATATCAGTCAGTTAGCTTCAGGGAGCCGTAGGGGCTCAACTCAGAAAATGGCATTTCATTACATTCAACGCTGGATTTTTTGCATACAAATGTACAATTCTAAAAGTTTTTCCCTATTGGACAAGTGAGGTGACAATTTTGGTGATAGCTCAATTTTGAGGGTTAATACATGCCTCTTGTCCTGCATGCCTCTTCTGCAAATGTTGAACAAGATAGAGCTTGATATAGCAGTGATGTCACGAGATACGACAATGGTTTTTCGTGTCATGTGATCTAGGCTGGTGGTGATGGAACTTCACAAGGATTGCATTCTGGTAGTTCATTATCTCATCAGATGTAGTTCCAATCATCCTATTCCATTTGAGGACACTGGATAATCTCGTTTCTGATGTCTATATATATTCACCTAGTTGTGGTTGCGCGGTGTTGAGTTCTGGCTCTTTGGTCCCGCCTCTTAACTGTCAATCAACTGGTGTACAGATTCCAGAGCCTACTGGGCTCTATCAAATCAACATTTGAAACTGTGTATGGAGTCTGGCTCCACCACATCACTACTTCCATCTGTTAACTACTGACTGAAAAAATTCTTTCTAATATTTCTGTGGCTCATTTGGTTACTAAGTTTCCACCTGTGTCCCCTTGTTTGTGTTCCACCCATACTAAAGAGTTTACCTTTGTCCACTCTGTCAATTCCCCTGAGAATTTTGTAGGTGGTTATCATCTCCCCTTACTCTTTTGTTTTCCAGGGATGTGAGGTTCAGCTCCTTTAGCCTTTCCTCGTAGCTCATACATCTCAGTTCCAGGACTAGTCTGATAGCATACAGTACCTCCGAATCTTCTTCTAACTTTGTCTTGTGTTTAACTAGGTATGGACAGTATGGACAGCTTAACTAGATATGTATTTAGTCCTCTGTGCAGTCATTTTGCGGAGAGACAAAAAAAATGGGGCCTTAAATTTCTCCTTGTAGTTTAGCCATTGTTGCTGCTGCTGTTCACGGATATTATACCATGTATATTTAGCTATAAAGAATTATATAGCAGGATCTGAATTTGACTTTACATGTTTATCACAGGTCCCAAATGATCACCCAGGAAGATTATGAGGTCATTATCGCAGTAGAAGTGCCTGGTCAAAATCGGCAGGTTCGTCTGAACACACAGCGTTACCAAGTGGCCCGCACCTTCATGAACCTACTGGGTCACATCAGTAAAGACCAGACCATCCAGTACATCCTCATTCTCGTGGATGACATTCTCTCCGTGAGTACTGTATTGTATTAGGCTCTCCTTTTGCATGTTATACATAACGGGCAAAACTTTGGGGATATTCTTTCTGGAAGTATTAGGCCTATCTTTGGATGTTGTTTTATAGAGAGCAAGACTTTCAGGCTTACTAAGGTTTCAAAATTATATAAATAGAATCGGTCATTTGTCAGAGAAGATCTTGAGGTTATCTTGAGATGATTCTAACAACAGGTAAAGATGACAGGTAATGTGTGTTAAAATATTCTATATATATATAAAAATATAATTAATTATACTTTAGTAACTTCTGAAATTTTCATTATTGGGACAGAAAGCGTAAATTTATGCTTAGTGAGTTTGCCTGTAAACCAATACAGTACAGACATTTTCCAGGATGCTACCAAGTACAGTTGCATGACTCCTAGATATCTACCTCTGTTTACTGCTAGATGAAGAGGCATCGGGTGAAAAGAAACATGCCAAACCATTTGTCCTACCTGGGGATCAAACCCGACTCCCTCAGTTGAGCCAAGAACGTAGATCACAACGCTACAGGACCCATATTTATTGGGTTTGACTGTGTGCAATCAAACAATACCCAAGCAGTGCAGCTTGGGGATTGTTTATGTACTTCCCAAAAATTGTACATTTTTTACTTTGTTTTTTCTTTTTACATTGACTAGTTTGCAGCTTTGCTTCTCCCCTAGGTAATTTGTTAGTACAGTAATAGCAACTGAAGCTACATACAGCCACTGTTGTATGTGTTTCCTCATTGTGCAGTAACCAGATCATCCTGCATTAGACTTGCCTTTTTGACCAAAGGATGTAGATTACATAACTCAAGCTACCCATGACCTGACTGATTTATAATGTACCTTGAGGTGCTTCCAGGGCTTAGCGTCTCCGCGGCCCGGTCGTCGACCAGGCCTCCTGGTTGCTGGACTGATCAACCAGGCTGTTGGACGCGGCTGCTCGCAGCCTGACGTATGAGTCACAGCCTGGTTGATCAGGTATCCTTTGGAGGTGCTTATCCAGTTCTCTCTTGAACACTGTGAGGGGTTTGCCAGTTATGCCCCTTATGTGTAGCGGAAGCATGTTGAACAGTCTCGGGCCTCTGATGTTGATAGAGTTCTCTCTCAGAGTACCTGTTGCACCTCTGCTTTTCAACGGGGGTATTCTGCACATCCTGCCATGTCTTCTGGTCTCATGTGATGTTATTTCTGTGTGCAGGTTTGGGACCAGCCCCTCTAATATTTTCCACGTGTAAATTATTACAGTGTAGATGAATTATTGTAGATTATTATTATTAATGTAGATGAATATCATACATATTTATGAGAGTTTGGCCAATTGGGTGCATACACAGATGGCATTCATTTCATTCGCTTGGACCATCAGAGATTCAGACTCGGACCTGTTGTCCCATCAACCACACGGATGCTCACAGTAAGGAAGGATCTCGGAAGTAATTAACTGGTCTCCAATGGAGACGTTAAACCTTCCCAGGAGCATCAGTAAGGTATTTGGAGGTAATCCACCCTTTCATCCATGTCATGCAAGATGCAAGCCACAATAGTGTGGGTAATAACATAGCATTTATTATACCCCCAGCTTAACTAGTTGGTCACTCGTGTATATGTAGAGTTTCCACAGCTGAATGCTGAAAGTTGTTTGGTAGTAATTGTTCTTGAAGTTGCAATTTTCAAGAAGTCTTCTTTGTCAATTTTGTAAATTCCTTTTAGGTATATCACAGTCAGGAACTTTTTCCCCATAGCAACTTAGGGGAGGCATAGTTTACTTCAAGCTTTATTTGTTGCATCGATGCGTTCTGGTGAGTTTTCCCCAGTTTAATTATTAATCATTGATCCCCCTGCATCTGTCATCTCGTATTGTGGTCCTGGCTCCCGGTTGCAGCAGGTGAGTCTCGGAGGCCTGGTGTGTTGGGCTAAGCCTTGGTGGTACCGGAGATAAGCTCAGGGAGCTACTATGGGGGTTCCACAAAAAAGGGCATTTGCACTACACTTAATGCTTCATTTGTTTAGGGGGGGGGGGGAGTGGATAATTTGGGATTTCATTGTACTGTACTTTAAACATTTATGTAAAAAAGAGCCTAGATTAAGTGCTTGCCATCTGTGTATGCACCCAATTGGCCAAACACTCATAAATTTAATGATTATAATTTGTTATTCTCTTTATAAAGACCGTAAATCACCTGTATATTATTTGGTCGATCTAGCGATTTGGGAGACTGAAAGTCAGAAAATTTGAGTGCACTATTTACCAGAGGAAAGTGGTCTATGTCCTCGGATCACAACTGAAGAATTCAAATACAATATCCAAGCAGGACACACATGGTTGACATGTTTCCTTTCAACTGATTCATTTGTTCATTTAGCAGTTGAATATGTACCCAAGAGTTAGGTAATTATTGAGGGTTTCATCCTGGGTAAGGTCAGCAGTTGGCATATGGGGGCTTCAATAAAGTTAAGTTCAGGCTTCCTGTCTCTGACAACAATGCTGTAATTATTTTGCATTGTTACATCTTATTCCAATCTTGTAATTTTTTTCCATTTTGTTTTCCAGGAAGAGAAGTCTCGTGTTGAAATTTTTAAAGAGTGTGCACGTAAGAATCGGGAGAGTATGTGGAGTCCTTTTCTTAACCTGCTGACACGACCTGACACATTCATAATCAACATGACTGCTCGCATCATTGCCAAGTTGGCGTGTTGGTCCCGTGAGCCCATGGATGGTTCAGACCTTACCTTCTACCTGACCTGGCTTAAAGATCAGCTCCGCACACCTGTACGTTCAATCTGATTGTCCTTTTTGCTCTATTGAAGTGTTTGTCCAGTCACTTAGCCTGATTGGTACAATGAAGGCTTTGTTTCTTGCAGGCTAGCATTTGATTCCCAATGGTCTAAATAAGTTTGTCAACCTTTGTATCCTTACAATAATTGTCATGTTTTAGATAAAAACAGGACTTCAGTGTCAACTGAAAGGAGACAGATTCTTTCTTTGCTCATGATGCTTTCTAAATGAGAATAATTAAACAAGATTTAATAAAAAACTCACTTGCATGTGATTAAAATAAAGGGGGCAGGAAATTAGTTTTTCAAACTTGCTCAAGCACTTTCAAAATTTTTATACATAATCTATTGGGCACATGCTCCAAATTTGTCTAAATGATCATCAACGTAACTTGAAAAACAAGAAAATTAAAAATAATTATATAATTAAATATTAAAAATTTCAGATTTTCAAATGAGCTTCAAAAATAAAAAATATCACAAATTGTTAAGTTTGTGTTATTATGATCTCAGAATAGCATATGATCTTCATTTTCCTAAGTTATAATTATAGGATTCAGTATAGTTTAGTGTAAAAAAAATTGTCAATATGGCATTTAAAATATGCATCAGATTTAGATCAAAAGAATCATAACTCCAAAAGTTTAGAGTTTATGAAAAAACAAGCCTACAAAATTGTAGAACAGACAGCTGTGCACATTATATGTAAAAATGGTGAGAATCGGTCTAAAAATGGATTTTTGCAACTGACTCAAAGTTGTAATTCTAGTTATAGAGATAATTGCAATTGTAGTTATCGACAATGAATAAGGTACTGTAATTCTAGTTCATTAATTTACTTGTATGTTTTAATTAACATGGTTTGGCATTTGTACTCGAATATATGAAAGTTGTAGGTCAATGTGTGTTGAAATGAAGTCAAGATAAAATAACCCCCACAAACTAACAATATATACTATTAATTATAATGATTTAGGGGATCTATATGTAGACTTTATGTAAGTAATAAAGCCCTAATCTGGTCCTAGTCATCAAAACAACCAAAAGAGAATAGAGTTTGAAATCTGTGAGAAAATCACCCCCAACAATTCAAAGTCCCAAGTTCAGCCAGTTGTGACTGATTTATTTGTTGACCAATTTCATTGTGTTTTAACATAGTTAAGGAAGGGCATGCACTCTACAGGTCGTAAAGGTTACAACAAAATTAGATAATAAACAAAGGAGAAAAAATTGCCTATTTTTTTTTTTTTTTTGCGGGGGGGGGACATTGATGAAAGTAACAAATATTAACATTGGACAATGTATTTATATGATATATAACAAAATAGAGGCTAATAACATACTCATTATTATTTGTGTTATTATGTATTACTCAGCAATGTTATAAAGGCACCAACTGCATATCCACTTTGTGGACACTTCTTACTACTGTTGTTATTCTTCTTTAAGTGTCGGACAGGTGCTTGCATCTCTTTATCACTACATTATTCCTTAGTTCCAGTTAATAACAGCTCTTCTCCTTATCAACAAAACTTTTTTTTTTTTTTTAAATGGTCTAAAATCCATTTCTGAAAATATTGGGATGAAACTTTCATGATGCTGAAGCGAATAAGTTGGAGATTTGTTTAACATTTACTAGTAATTTTCACATAATTCAAATATTTTTTCTTTTCCCGCCTCCTTAACACTTTCGCCCAGCGACGACTCAGCATTGAGTCCTCCGTAAAACGGGCAAGTCTAGCGAGGACTCAGCATAGTCCTCCATGCGGCAACAGTAGCGGCATTTTCGGGAAGATTTTTTCCAGTTTTGGATATTATATGCATATACTCTTGTAGGGAATTTCATTGCGAATACATTGATATGAAAATGAAAGACCTAGGACCAGAATTGAGGTAACAAAGTTGAAAACAGAATTCCCATTTTATTGCTCTTTATTAGCACTCATGGGGGTAACACTCTGTCACTTTCTTTGTTTGCTGTAGGTAACCCCAGGCTTTTGGACTTTATATTTGCATATACTCCTGTAGAGAATTCTATTGCAAACTCAATGATACCAAAATGAAAGACCTAGGATGGGAATTGAGATGTCCAAAGTGAAGAAAGTGAAGTGCAGAGAGAGCTCTTGCCCGCTCCCGGGTAAGAAACTCACTTTCTCGCCGGGCTTTTGGGACTTATATTCATTTAGTCCTGTAAAGAATTCTATTGCGAACACATTGATACCAAATTGAAAAACCTAGGATGAGAATTGAGATGACAAAGTTGAAAAAAGTATACACTTTTCAGAATTACCACGCCCTCTAATGTAATGAGAGGAGCTTGGGGTGGCGTGGCGCTCTCTTTCTGGTAACCGCGGCCTGTTTTCATCATGTCGGCGGGTGGAGATCGCTGTTGTTTTGATATTATATGCATATAGGCCTGTTGGGAATTCTATTGCAAACACATTGATACCAAAATGAAAGACCTAGGATGAGAATTGAGGTGACAAAACTGAAAAAAAGAGTGTAAACATTTTATCACTCTTGTGCGCTCCCGGCGGGCAACTTTCTCTCACTTTCTCTGTTAGTTGCGAATGGTAAGCTGGGCTTTTGGAGTTTATATGCATTTAGTCCTGTAGAGAATTCTATTGCGAACACATTGATACCAAATTGAATATCTTAGGATGAGAATTGAGCTGACAAAGTTGTAAAGATTATACACTTTTCAGAATTTTCCGCGCTCTCCCTCGCGTTCTCGCAGAATGCCCAAAATGCCCTAGGGTAGTAGGGAGGTCCCGCGCCCGGTGAGCGAAAGTGTTAAGTTATTTATCAGTATCTCTAGCGGAACCCCAGTTAGAAAGGCTAGTCTAAATGGTTGGGCGCCTTTCCTTTCCTTTGACCTCAAATCTTAGTTTCTTGTCATAAGCCTTTCAAGTGCTATAAGTCATACTGGCTTAGTGCTCCCCATGTTACTGACAACACACAGTGTGTGTGTTGTCAATTTTCAATGAACATGAATTTTTAGTCATAATACAATGCTCCATTTACAGAGCATGTCTCTCGTGTGTATGGCGTTTAGAGAACCATGTGCTTGCTTATATGTACATTGGGTGAGATACAGCTCTCTGACCTACCTTGCATTGACCTAACTTGCGCTGATTTCGGGGATCAACGTCCCAGTGGCTCGTGCTCTTGACCATGCCTCCTAGTGTTTTTATTCATGGAACACTTTACAGTATGTCACGACATTCAAATTGTGATATATTTTGTTTCTTAAAGTTGTGGATACAAGGGGTTTTGACAGCTTCCTCTTTTAGTACATTCCCCCTTGCCACCAACCAATGTCCTCTTCTCCATGAAATGTGGTGTCCAGTTTCATTCATTCTTATATTGTTATGCTGAGTATAGATAGGAGCTGCCTTGCGTAGGCCAATAGTTCTTCTACACACAAGCCAAAGAACAAGTTTGTCTGTTGATAACTTGATCAGTCAGCCTATTGAATGCCACAGTCCACATGCCCACATGATCATTACAACCTGGCTGATCCAGCACTTCCTGCAGGAATTTATTCCTTTGACTACTGTATGTTTTACTGTAAAAAAACATTTAATTATTTATGTTTTTCCAAACTTTCATTATGCTTGGAGACCATTAATATATTTATCAAAAGTGTTCAATTTTATGATATTAAATAGTCTGAGGTGAGTAAGAGGAGCTTGAAGATTAACATGAGCAAAATATTCCCAGAACAACGAGTACATACAGTCAGTGGGCCGTTGTCTGCAGATGATGCTGCGAGTGGAGGAGTATCGCACCATTTTCTACCAGCTGGATGGTGTCGTTACCATTGTCCAGGTTAGTTATTGAATTTTCTTTCATGTAATACACGTATATTTTTTATCTTCCAAATCCCAATAGAAACCAATTTAAACCAACCCACACAAGTTATAATCAGGGATCCTAAAACAAAAATGGTAGAGCACTTTTCCACTCGCCCAATGGCGCTATTTAGCTACCAGTTGATAGGTACTCGAGAGTTAGTCAGCTGTTGTGGGGTTGCATCCTAGGGAACGTCAGTACAGTAATTTGACCTTGGGGAGACTTCGAAAGGAGCCGAAAATACAGTATATGTATACAAAACATTTTCTTGACAAAACAAATTATATCACTTTTATTCATCCTTTCACCGTGTATCCCTGAGTACTGTATGTCCTTGTGTGTAAAATATGCATTTATGATACATATTTCTTCTATTATGCATACATTTCACCATCAAGTCATTGTTGTTTGGACTTCATACTGGCTTTTGTAGCACAGCAGCCTACGTCCTTCACTAACAACCGAGGGTCCCAAGTTCAGTCCCCAGTGAGACAGAGATGTTTAAGCATGTTTCTTTTCACCTGATGCCATCTTTCACCCAACAGTAAATAGATACCCAGGAGTTAGACAGCTATTGTGGGTACAATAGACGGCAAATTTTGTCATTGATACATCATGTTAGTGTGATTTCCCCTTCCTGGGGAAGGTCAGCAATAGTTGAACTAGGACAAGGGTGGGCAACATTTTTAATTTTACGTGCCAAATTTACAAAATCTTTGATGGAAAATTTTCTTGCATACCAACTGAAATTTTTGGGAATATATTATGATGTCATGTTTTAAGTTTTAAGTACAGTATTGGGAGAACCCATTCAAATAATACAAAAATCACACTTGAGCGGTAAAATCAAAGAATAATCTAAGAACGATTATTGCATGTCATATAAGATAGAACGAGTGTAAAATTTAGTGACGGAATTTTTACCTAAAAGTCGTTCTACCCTGTTAATAGCATGGATATTTTTTCATAGCCTGTAAGTGATCAAATGAATTTTCTAGAGAATAGATGCAAAAAACTAATTTAATTTATTATAGATTATGCATGACAGCAATGGATACTGTATATGGATATTCATGAATAGCAATTGAATGACACCTTTAAGCATCATTGGAACATTAAGGTTGTCTGGGGCGTGTGCCTGGGAATATCCAGTGCATAGATTCGAATCCTCATCACGACTCCTACCAATTTTCTCATTGACACATTGTGTTAGTGTGATTTCTTTGTGTGTGAGTATTGGAACATTTACTGTTAAAGTACCAGCATCTTTGGAATGGGAAGTGTTAATGGAGATTCACTTAAAATTCTTAATTTCATATGCCCTCAGGAAGATGTGAGAGTTATAATGAATCAGTTATTGGGACTATAACTTAGCAGAGAGCAAAGATATGCATGTTTTAATGAGGGTTTCATGCAGTCAGAGAATTACCTGAAGCCAAAGCCACCCAGTGTCTTAGAATCATGTAAGTAAATAAGAAATATAACATTTGTTCACTACAATGTTGGTGCTGAATGTAGAACATGAAAAAGACATTATTTTACTTGGAAAGTTGTTATTTTATAACAAAATGAAAATAGGTGGTCCCTGCCCTCAGCGGGCCAAACCATACACGTGCTCCAATAATTTGTTTAATTAAGAGATTCGTTTATAATGCTTAACGTGTTAACAGTGCTTACCGTTTTACATTCCAAGTGAAAGACAGATATAAATTTTATTGTGACCACATTTCAAGGAATATGGCTTATGAATGAGCAAATGTGTAGTTTTGCATCGCCAGTGTCCAGACACTTTGAGGCTACCACAGTATCGCAGGTCTGCGAACACGCACACACGATTGGTTAGTTCTCTAGCTGAGCCGGCAATGCTATTGGCTAAATGATAAGATGAACAATGCTACCTTCTGGTCAAATGAAAAGTAGTAGTGACCTCTGTTGAGCCGCAGATCAACCAGCCTAAAATTCCTTGTACAGGAAGTTCGTACGAACACCTGTCGGAATTTTGCGTGGGAATGTTCTTACAGAGTTACTATGAACCTTTGTGACACAGACATTTAAGAAAAAATACATGATTAAGTGAATCTAGGTCCTAGTTGTTAACCGAGCAGAAAGTTGTGTTCAAGGGAAAACTAGCAGGCTTAAGATGAGCTGTGGAAAGAAAAAGCCTTAATCCTGATAATAGGAGTCACTGTCATAACAAAATATTAATTAATAAACATATTGCTTTCTTATTCCATTTTTCTCTTAATTCTGCCATTATAATTTTTCTTACCATCACAATCTTCATTCTCTCTCCCTTTATTTGCTTGGCTTCCCATTGTCAGGAAGAGAAAGCTGGTGTGACTTATCACAGTCTCCAGGTCAACTACTGATCTTCTCCTGGATGCAACCCATAACAGTTGCTTACCTTCCAGGTTCTTGTTTACTGCTAAGTAATCAAGGGCCATCAGCTGAAAGGAAATTTGGCCAAACATCTCATCTTGCCTGGGCATTGGACCCAAGACTATTCTACCGACTGCTCTACAAGCCTCCAACTTCTTTCATTCCACATTTATTTTCATGCTACTCGACATGAATAATATAATTTATGATGATGAAGACTTCAGTTTGTGTGGTAACTTAAATTTCATGTGAACAGGTGCTCAGTACTGGGAAGCTCAACTTCCAGATACAGTATCAACTGACCTTCTGCCTCTGGGTTTTGACGTTCAACACTGCCATTGCCGAGAAGATGAACAAGTAAGTTTCACATGAGGGTATCTTGAGGCCCCCATTACATTTGTGCTTCACTGTCAGAGTAGATACATGTGTTGAACACACTCAATTACTCTTAGCTCCATGTGCAGGCTACTGTTTCTTTATACCAGTTTTGGCTATGGCTGACACCCCCCCCCACACACACACACACACACACACACACAATCACCGTCAAAAGGGAAGTAAAGTGTTTTTTATCAGAAGGTTGATAGATGCATGTCATTATTGGAATTATGTGCATGTTATCGATTGCAAACTGATAGAAGTCCCAGTTAGTTTGGTCCCAGATTCAGATCTGGTTGAGCCTAGTTTGGGATTCCAGGTCGGCTTCACTTTCTCTGCCTCCTGTGGCTCTGTTATGCCTGCAGCACTGTTGCTATCTGGTGTTGGACCAGCCCCGGGTGACTTGGCGATATATTGAGCAGTGTGCACGAGCCTGAACTTTGCCTGTATGGAGTTTTCGCTGGGCAGGGTTTGGTAATGGGCATTGTATTGGCTCCTCCAGTTCTGCACATGTCACCTCTGCCAGAACCATCAGGTTCGGGCCCTGTTTGTTCTTCACTGACTCTTGCATTGCCGGCTTCTTCCTCTTGTATTTGGAGTCCAATTCTATGGGCCCTTCCTCCCTGTAACTCAACGTGTTCATGGGACACCTCGGCTCTGGGTTGGGGTTTTGTGACTAATGCTCACCGAGACCTCCCATGGTGATTGGACGAGCATGCTTCTTCAGGTGCACAGCACATGTGTGTGCTGCAGTGTGGCAGGCCGTCCAGAAGGTTTGTCTTCCTCCTGGTTTCTATTCTCCAGCTCCATTCAGACTTGCTCGCCGGTGGTATGATGCTTCATTCACTAAACTGCCTGAGGTCGCCTCATTCTTTCCTCCTTTGGGTCTGGACTCAGAGTAGTTCAGCTTTTTTATTCTCTAGAACTGGTTCTCTACATGGGTTGTGTGTTGGATGTATCCATTGTTCTCACAGACATTTTGTCTCGTTTCCATCCCATTTCTATAGTGGACCTCCAAAAACCTCCAAAGAATACCTGATCAACCAGGCTGTTATTCATACAGGCTGTTATTCATGAGGCTGCGAGCAGCCATGTCCAACAGACGCTCAACTGGGAGGCCTGGTCAGAGACCAGGCCTCCGTGGTTCATTGATTCCCGGAAGCTATTCAAGATAGACACAAGGTAGGTAGACCATCAACACCATGTCCTTCAGTTGGTTCAGCGAGATGTTCAGTCATCGCAAGGTGCTGCTTTTCACATTGGCATGGAACTAATAGTTTCCTTCATACATGTCTTCATTCTCTGATCCCGAGGCTCCTTAGTGGCCGACTCAGCCTTGGATTTTGGCTCTTCTGGCCCTGTGTCCAAACCCTGACATTAGTCTGCAGCTCCATCTCTCATTGGATTGGTTCGGTGACATAACTAGCTGGTTTAAAGTTTCCTCTAATCTTAATGTTTGTAGTTTTTTACTCAGGTTTTTCACCATTTGTTTGATGGGCAAGTGGGTGAGCTGGTAGTCTCCCCACCTGCATCTTTCGCCACGGTGACAGTTTGAAGATTCTTGGCTCTCTTTTCATCTTTTCCTTAAACTTGGTCGCTTGTCTCGGTTCCGGTGAGGTTTCTTCTTTTTTTCTTGGGGGTTTGTCATTTGGCATCGTGTGCCTAATATTGTTACATCCTATCCTTCAGCTTTGGCAGACTTGCTTTTGTTGGTTTTCTACATCAGTATTTTCTTGGTGCTATTTTTTAAATTGTCTGATGCATTCTTTCACCTCTGGCCTGCTCTTTCTCCACCCAAGCCATCTTGGTTGTTGGATAAGGTAATGGTTTGTATTTTCTCTCCTCAGTTCTCTGTTACCTCCTTCACTCTGTGGTGCCTTTTGAAGGCTCTTTTCTTATTAGGCCTTGCTTTCAGATGCCAGGTTACGAAGCTTGATGCTCTCCTATGGAAGCAGGGGTTTTGTTCCTTTGGCCCTAGGGTAACAGTTTCTTTGTTTCCAGCTTTCTCCTTGTTTTCTGGCAAAGAACGAGACGTTTCCCTTCCTGAGGGATCCTTTGGTTATTGATGTGTGGTTTGTTCAGCCTGGGATGCATCATTTGTTGTCTGGTTGCGATGGTTCAACTCGACCCGGACTGCATTGGAAGACACTTGGTTTGTGAATCCCGTTTCTTTGGTTGCCTGTCATAAAGCTTGTTTCTCTCGGGTTGTCCGCGGACCCATTAGTCTACCCAGCCTGCGATCTACCCTCAAGCTCATGATGTTTGTAATTTGTGCCTCTAACTGCGGTGTTTTTCGACATGTCTTTCGCCGATATCTAAGCACAGGATTTTGGAGGTCTACAGGGTCCTAGCGGCTCAATGCCTGTTCAGTGCTCTTGGTCCCTGTTGGGCTTGTGGCTTTGGGCCTGGTTTCCTGTCCAGGTCTCTCCTCTTTGAGGGTGTGAGTGTTACAAGGAGACTTACCAAGGAGGAGAGTAAGTCTCTTACTCTCCTTGTGTACACTTCTGTGTTACTCTCCTCCTCCTCCTCTGTGGCTAGGAGGAGGTAGTTAGAGGGAACCACCGTTCGATCCTTCTTGAAAACCAGCATTTGAATGTATTGAAACTCCTATTTCTGGCTGGGCCTTGGTGGCTTCCTGGTCCCCACTGCCAGGTGCATCAGTTTGTTCTGGACTGAGGAATATTGACAGGAGAAGTAATTCCCACTAGTGCTGCCTCTTGGTGGTGGTCAGCTGGGGTTGGTCTAGCAGGGGTCTGGGGTCTCATTACATTCAATGCTGGGGGTTTTCTGAGCTTTTCTGGGGGAAGCCCTGTCGACTCCCTGGAACTATCCAGGCTGATACGGATATATTAGCTTTCTGGCATCAGTCAATGTGCATGGAGTTTTTGCCTACTGGGGACCACGAGCTAGAGCCTGGCCCCCCCTCAGAGAGGCACGAGGAGCAATGACCTGTAGAAACTCCCGTGTGGTTGGGAGCATTCTATATCTGCCATCAACCGAGTCTGGCACCCAGAAAGGTAGGCGCCCCAGAACAAATCCCTATTCTAGTGAAAGGAATAGGGAATCCTTTTAAAGTGAAAATATTGCTTCTGAAAGCCAAACAACTGAACAGACCTCTCCAAGGAAAATTAACAAATGAGCATGACATCATCACGTTGCCACGCCACTGTCTGCGCATCCCCCCCTCCCCCTGAGAGGGGGGGAAGGGGGGAGCCCCAGACCCCTCACACCGGTGATCCACCCTTCAGTTCTTGGCTGATATGCTACTGGCAAGATCTTGTGCCTCTGGCTCCTGCTTTGGTCTCAGTTTTTGTGCCTTATGGTATGGTCTGTCTCTACAGGTAGTGTGTGAGCCAGGAGTAATATTCTATGGTACTCGGGCTGTATGCGCCTAGGGTGTCCTTCCCTAGGTGCCCAGTAAGTACTGTCCTTGGGGCCACCTTCCACAAGTCACCTTGGCATCTATTTTGGCTGTGTCTTTTACTGCTCAGTACTTGGCCGCCCTTGGGGTCTACTGGGGTTTTCTTGCCCTTGTGTGTCCCTGGGTAGGGGGTAGTTTTCGTCACTGGTAGGGGGCGCGGGGTACTGCACAGCTAGTTTTCACCAATTACAGCGGCCGGCTCTGTTCTACCTGGCTACGTTGTCCTCTTGCGGGATTTTTCTTTTGTTTTTTTTTCCTGTGTGGTGGTGGGAGGGGGGTCTGCCTTTGGTTGGTTGCCCCCTATCTGTAATTGGGCAGTATTTATATATATATATGTGTTCTTGGTGGTACCCCCTGCTAGGCCCCCCTACATGTCCGGCTCCGGGGAACCTTCGGTTCTCTCCCAGAAAATGCCGTTTCATTACATTCAACGCTGAGTTTTTGTTTTGATCTTTAAACATTATTTGCATACTTTACCTTTACTTCAGTAGTCCCTTAGTGTTACAGTACTATATTTTGGCAAATATTTTCATCTATTTACCCTACTTACAAAACTATATTATTAATTGTCTCTCGGGACAAATACAGTACAACTTTTAATAATGCCGTTTTGATCATACTGTATTTAATTTTTTTCTTTAGAAAAAAAGTGTTTTTTTTTTCTACAACTGTTAGAGTAAGTGGAAAGCTTTGTTTGTTGTTTGTATTGTATATGTTTAATTTTTTAGGTACAGTGTAATTCCCACCCTGGCAGACATCCTGAGTGAGAGCATTAAAGAGAAAGTGACCCGCATTGTCTTGGCAGTTTTCAGAAACCTCATTGAGAAGCCTGAAGACCCTGTGAATGCCCGAGAGAATTGCATTCAGATGGTCCAGTGTAAGGTGAGGGGCTTGCTCTGTGTTCTCCTTGTTTATACACTAAATGTTTACATATAATTACTCTATTAAATAATGCAACCCATACATGAATGGAAGTGACAATGTTTTGGTCCTTCCTGGACGTCTATCACGTCATAAGGAAGGTGAGGGGACAAGTAGTGAGGGGAGAGGAGGGGACAGGTAGTGAGGGGAGGTGAGGGGACAGGTAGTGAGGGAAGGTGAGGGGACAGGTAGTGAGGGAAGGTGAGGGGACAGGTAGTGAGGGAAGGTGAGGGGACAGGTAGTGAAGGAAGGTGAGGGGACAGGTAGTGAGGGGAGGGGACAGAAATGGCCAGAAATGTGGTGTTGCAGTGCAAGGGTTAATTTGCAGCTGTTGGCATATTATTGGTGAGTAATCAAAGACAAATGCTGTAAGGGTTTAGCAAATATTGTTTTTATTTTCAGGTTCTGAAGCAGCTGGAGATTTTAGCACAGAGGAAATTTGAAGATGAAGACATTACTTCTGATATTGAATACCTGAATGAGAAGCTGCAGAATTCTATTCAGGATCTCAGGTAATTTCCAGAACTGTCCCCTGGATATTAACTTTTATTAATATTTTTAAAAGCTGAAACCCCAAGTAGTATCACCAAATGAAAACACAAGAACATGATGTACTGTGGGGTTTTCTACTTTGCTTTCCTGAACTGTGATGCGTGCAATGTCACCAATGTACGTGTGGCAGACGCTTCGCGAGGCTGTCGGAATCTAGCAGAGAAAATACGAGAGCAAGCGTACAGGGCCTGGTAGCAAGGTCGAGTAAGAGTCCTTGAGGGTCTCTTCTCAGACTAGCCTCACCTGTGCCTGATCGACATTGGTTGTTGGAATCTCCTCAATGCTTGAAACACTTTAAGGGACTCTTAGGGGCCTCATCACATTTATAGATTAGTGAATAATAGGCAACTCGGTGTTGTAGACACCCGGAGCTGAAGGCTTAAGTAATGTAATGACAGTATTCAGAAATGGTTCAACAGAAACACTGCATAAAGCTTAACAGTAGTTTATTTACAAACATAACCACTAATACAATGGGTGCTTGATTTACTTTAGATTGGCGTCAGAAAAGCTATGGTCACATTAGCGAGACTCTTGACGTCTGACTAATGGATTCTGATCCGCTCATGGAGAAACACCTAGCTTAACACAATTGACAGTCAATCATTAATGCGGCAAACCTAACTGCCTGTGTGCAAAGGGTCATTGGTGTTCCTTCAGGATACTCGGGTAATGATGATGCACAATAAATCAACAATAGCACTGTCAATGGGACAGGCAATAATCTTGCACAGTAATTATGTCACACAATAACTAAATGTGTGGTGTATGTAAAACTCACTTTCACAGACGAGTGTAATGTTGTGATACCACACAGATGAACACGCATACACGTCAGGTGTCTAGGTCTCCATCTATACCTGTGTCAGGTATGAGGTAGTAAGAACTGTGGTTGACCACTCAGGTCAACACACAGACACACACAATAAAGAAACAAGATCTTGTAATTACAGGTATGGCTACCTCGGTCGGTCGGCCGAGCGGACAGCACACTGGACTTGTGATCCTGTGGTCCTGGGTTCAATCCCAGGCGCCGGCGAGAAACAATGGGCAAAAGTTTCTTTCACCCTACGCCCCTGTTACCTAGCAGTAAAAATAGGTACCTGGGAGTTAGTCAGCTGTCACGGGCTGCTTCCTGGGGGTGGAGGCCTGGTCGAGGACCGGGCCGCGGGGACACTAAAAAGCCCCGAAAACATGTCGAGATAACCTCTCCCATTCACTCACTCATGCACATTCATGCAAGACCTCGTAGGTGGCCTGACAGCTGGTTTCGCTCATTATGACATGAGAACACTGATGACAGGCATTTCCCAACACTACCGTACTTGACACGGAGGGTACTCGCAGGAGGGCGTGCTGTATGCCTAACAGACACACGCCCCTGATGGCACTGGCGCATGAGTAATGGTGTGACGGGCGGTGACGTCACGTAGTGCAGTGAGGGCGGAGCAGGTGGTGGCTGGCTTCACGTTTTGGTCTGAGTGGCAGCTGGCTACATGCTCTGGACTGAATGACAGCAGCGGCTATAGTTATATTGTACCATGCAGGTACACTGTGGTAAAGTCACACACAGATTACTTAGGCGGCAGCACTTGGTTCCCTGTACGCCACTGATTTACTCACAAACGATTTTGATCTCACAGGTGTTACCTGGTATCAGTCTGTTTTGCTCTGGTGATTCGCAGACTTCTGTCACTCTAGATGATTTCTAAACAATATAAACAATATAGTCACAGTCACGATTCCAGGTAAACGCTGGTGTATCAAGCAGAATGCAACTGCTAACAAATGAGTTTAAATTGATGGTGAGGAATGGACGGTGTTCTGGCTATTGGTCGATAGACAGAAGGACACGTCAACCACATACGAAGTTCCTCACGAGATTACTCTTGCAAAGGGTTGCACGATTCCTTGAGGCACAAACACCAGGTCTACCAAGTAACCAATGGCGTTGCAGCAAAGATGCTGAAACCAATGATATTGATCGTTACGTGATCGGTAGAAGAGTGACGTTATGACACCGTCACGACTACGTCAATGTTGTTATTCTTCATCGTGGTGGTTGAGATTGACCCCAGAGGTAAGAGCTTATCTCTTGCCTTGCTGGCATCCCCTCTCTCACATGCCTGGCACTTTCCACTGTGTACTCCCTGACACTGGCATGAATGCTTAATTCCTCTGTAGCTACTTTCTGCCTGGACATACGGCGGCCTCCGTATGATATAAGTATTCCTGGTTATGTGGGCATCCTAATGACACAAACATGACAGTTTCCATCCAGGGTTAACAGAGATAAGGCTTGTGTACAAGATAGGTGCACTGTGCACTGCAATGAGCCATTCAAGTCAGCTGTGGGAGAATCTTGAGAGACCATACTTTCACATGTATCTTGGAGAAACTACTAGTCCATATGTATTATTATTATTATTATTCTAACTCTTTTCTGAGCAAGGCTCGCTCAGTTGCTTCCCCCGAGTCATAGCTCTGGGTCCACCAAGATCACTGCTAGTATGTCCAGCCCTGAGTGCTCAGGGCTGGACATACTAGCATACTAGAGGGCTTTGTGGGACCCCTGAAGCTCCATGAAGACAAGTAATCTTGGAAATGGTCTTGTTACATAGTCCAGGGGCGAGGAACAAATTCAAGAGCATACCTGAATCCACTTGATATGACACTATCAAACCACTTGACTAACCTAACCAAACCCTTAACCAAACTAACTTGACTGGGCATCAGAAAATAACATGATGTTTAACAGTGATAAATTCCAGGTACTCAGGTACGGTAAAAATGAGGACCTTAAACATAATACAGGGTACAAAACACAATCAAATGTACCGATAGTAGGAAAACAGCATGTAAAGGATTTGGGAATAATAATGTCTGACGACCTAACGTTTAAGGAGCATAACCAAGCAAATATTGCGACAGCCAGAAAAATGATAGGATGGATTACGAGAACTTTCAAATCCAGGGATCCCATCACAATGGTTGTACTCTTCAAGTCACTTGTGCTGTCCCGTCTTGAGTACTGCTCAGTACTCACTTCCCCCTTCAGAGCAGGAGAGATTGCTGAAATAGAGGGAATACAGAGAACATATACGGCACGCATAGACGCAATAAAGCACCTAAATTATTGGGATCGTCTCAAAGCCCTCCAAATGTACTCACTAGAAAGAAGACGAGAGAGATATCAAATAATATACACCTGGAAGATACTGGAGGGCCAAGTACCAAATCTACACAGTAAAATAACAACGTACTGGAGTGAACGACATGGAAGAAAATGTAGAATAGAACCAGTGAAAAGCAAAGGTGCCATAGGCACAATCAGAGAACACTGTATAAACATCAGAGGTCCGCGGTTGTTCAACGTCCTCCCAGCAAGCATAAGAAATATTGCCGGAACAACCGTGGACATTTTCAAGAGGAAACTAGATTTGTTCCTCCAAGGAGTGCCGGACCAACCGGGCTGTGGTGGGTATGTGGGCCTGCGGGCCGCTCCAAGCAGCAGCCTGGTGGACCAAACTCTCACAAGTCGAGCCTGGCCTCGGGCCGGGCTTGGGGAGTAGAAGAACTCCCAGAACCCCATCAACCAGGTATCAACCCTTCAAACGCTCCATCATATCTCTAAAATAGCCGAGACACATTCTGAAACTACTGTACTAGCAACTACCTCCTACACCAACCACTACCATGAGGTAGCACTAGCTAACACTTCTAGATTGGGGATAGGGGGGGGGCACACTTTGGCCCTCACTCAGTGTTTTTGTCCAAGGCTTTGCTGAGCCTCAGGTTGGGAGTTTGAAGATTTGTTATTTTTCTGCCTGTTTGGGAGGCAAGTGGAAGACATCTTAGTGTTACTTTTGCACCTGTTTTCAAGGCTGCAATATGAGATGACATTAAGGTCTTTCATTCAGTGTTTAGCTTGCCATATATAGTCTCTTCAGTTTGGGTTGGTGATAGCCTTCCTGATATGGCTTTATGTGCTTTGCCATCTTATGCCTTATATTGTTGCCTCTTATGCCTTATATTGTTGCCATCTTATGCTTTATATTGTTGCCATCTTATGCCTTATATTGTTGCCATCTTATGCCTTATATTGTTGCCATCTTATGCCTTATATTGTTGCCTCTTATGCCTTATATTGTTGCCTCTTATGCCTTATATTGTTGCCATCTTATGCCTTATATTGTTGCCTCTTATGCCTTATATTGTTGCCATCTTATGCTTTATATTGTTGCCTCTTATGCCTTATATTGTTGCCTCTTATGCCTTATATTGTTGCCTCTTATGCCTTATATTGTTGCCATCTTATGCCTTATATTGTTGCCATCTTATGCCTTATATTGTTGCCTCTTATGCCTTATATTGTTGCCTCTTATGCCTTATATTGTTGCCTCTTATGCCTTATATTGTTGCCTCTTATGCCTTATATTGTTGCCTCTTATGCCTTATATTGTTGCCATCTTATGCCTTATATTGTTGCCTCTTATGCCTTATATTGTTGCCATCTTATGCTTTATATTGTTGCCATCTTATGCCTTATATTGTTGCCATCTTATGCCTTATATTGTTGCCATCTTATGCCTTATATTGTTGCCTCTTATGCCTTATATTGTTGCCATCTTATGCCTTATATTGTTGCCTCTTATGCCTTATATTGTTGCCATCTTATGCCTTATATTGTTGCCATCTTATGCCTTATATTGTTGCCATCTTATGCCTTATATTGTTGCCTCTTATGCCTTATATTGTTGCCTCTTATGCCTTATATTGTTGCCATCTTATGCCTTATATTGTTGCCTCTTATGCCTTATATTGTTGCCATCTTATGCTTTATATTGTTGCCATCTTATGCCTTATATTGTTGCCTCTTATGCTTTATATTGTTGCCATCTTATGCTTTATATTGTTGCCATCTTATGCTTTATATTGTTGCCATCTTATGCCTTATATTGTTGCCTCTTATGCCTTATATTGTTGCCATCTTATGCTTTATATTGTTGCCTCTTATGCCTTATATTGTTGCCTCTTATGCCTTATATTGTTGCCATCTTATGCCTTATATTGTTGCCATCTTATGCCTTATATTGTTGCCTCTTATGCCTTATATTGTTGCCATCTTATGCCTTATATTGTTGCCATCTTATGCCTTATATTGTTGCCATCTTATGCCTTATATTGTTGCCTCTTATGCCTTATATTGTTGCCTCTTATGCCTTATATTGTTGCCATCTTATGCTTTATATTGTTGCCTCTTATGCCTTATATTGTTGCCTCTTATGCCTTATATTGTTGCCATCTTATGCCTTATATTGTTGCCTCTTATGCCTTATATTGTTGCCATCTTATGCTTTATATTGTTGCCATCTTATGCCTTATATTGTTGCCATCTTATGCCTTATATTGTTGCCTCTTATGCCTTATATTGTTGCCATCTTATGCCTTATATTGTTGCCTCTTATGCCTTATATTGTTGCCATCTTATGCTTTATATTGTTGCCTCTTATGCCTTATATTGTTGCCATCTTATGCCTTATATTGTTGCCTCTTATGCCTTATATTGTTGCCATCTTATGCCTTATATTGTTGCCTCTTATGCCTTATATTGTTGCCTCTTATGCCTTATATTGTTGCCATCTTATGCCTTATATTGTTGCCATCTTATGCCTTATATTGTTGCCTCTTATGCCTTATATTGTTGCCATCTTATGCCTTATATTGTTGCCTCTTATGCCTTATATTGTTGCCATCTTATGCCTTATATTGTTGCCATCTTATGCCTTATATTGTTGCCATCTTATGCCTTATATTGTTGCCATCTTATGCCTTATATTGTTGCCTCTTATGCCTTATATTGTTGCCTCTTATGCCTTATATTGTTGCCATCTTATGCCTTATATTGTTGCCATCTTATGCCTTATATTGTTGCCTCTTATGCCTTATATTGTTGCCATCTTATGCCTTATATTGTTGCCATCTTATGCCTTATATTGTTGCCTCTTATGCATCGTCCTTGTTAGAGCCTCGTTCACTTTTTGGCTCAAGTTGGCTAGAGCTATAATTTGAGAGCCTGCTCGTGTGCACCAAGTTGTTTTTGGGCCACGTGTTTGTGTGCTTCTCTATTGCCATGTTGAAGGTTGTGAGTTCTCGAGAAGACTGTATACACAAAGCTCCATTTTGGCTGGTGTTGGCTTCAGGAAGTACCGTTGGTGAGCAGTATGCTCTATTGCATTTATGGTGCTTTGCCTCGGTAATCAATTGTTCTCTGATCCCCATGTGCTTTATAGAGAAAACAAGAGCATAGAGGTCCTTGTTCTCCCATATGCAATGAGTCTTTTGGGGTACCTGGCATTGTCTACCTCAACTACTAGTGTCCAGTGATTCAGCACAGGGTAGCTACAGTGTTCAGAAAGGGGCATTTCTTTACTTTCAATGTTATATTTCTGTGGAGAACCCCGTCAGCTCCCTGGAGCTATCGGTCTAATATATGCTATATTAGTCTGGGGCTTCAGTCATATGGAGTTCTGCCTACTGGGTAGAGTCAAAAAGTCAAAAAGATTTTGTCCCTCAAGTGGGGTTTCTCACTTGTTTTCAGTTCTATAACGGGACTGTGTGGATCTTTGATTCATTCTGGACGTATCCCGTCTGAACCACTGAATTCCTTGCCCCTTCTCTTGGATAACTACTCTGTCTCAGATCTGGCTTTTCTTGGAGCTGGGTTCTTGGATAGTGTGTCTAGACCTCCAGGATGCATATTGGCATGTCCTCGTTCACCTGGGGTTCAGGGACTGGTTAGGTTTTGTGGTGGGGCAGCAGGTTTACCTCTCTCGCTGCCTTTCCTTTGGGCTGAATCTGGCACCTCCCGTTTTCATGCATCTTACCCGGGTCGTGGTGGCCTGTCTGCGTCTGCTAGGTGTTCGGGTTTTGGCCTACCTCGATGACCGAGTGGTGTGAGCTCCCAGCTGGTCTGCTTGTCTGCTCGCCGGGGGGTTTGGTTCTTTTCCAGCTCGCCGGGTTCAGGTCCCTGTTGAACTGGAGGAAGTCCCATTTGGTTCTGTCCCAGGTTCAGACTTCAGTGGGCCTTATTTGGGATTCTCAGACGGTGCTCATGTGTCTTCTTCCTGCTACGTTGCTCCGGCTGCAGTCCCGCCTTCTGCTGTTCTTGAAGAGGTCCTGGATCACTCAGCGGTTGCTCGAGCAGCTGTGTTGGATTTTGAACTTCGCCGCGCTGGTTTACCCGCTGTGTCGGGTGTGGCTTTGCTGTCTGTTTTGGTTCCTTTGGGGAACCAGAAAGTCTCCACTCTTGCAATCGTTGGGTTTGTGTGCCAGGAGCCTTGTGTCAGTTGTTGAGTCTCCTGCTTCCTCAGGGTTTTTCGGGGTTCGGTGCCTTGGCACCTACTGGAACCCTCGCTCGATGTGTTCACAGATGCCTCGTCATTCGGGTGGGGCTTTGTAACCAGGGCTTACCAGTCCTTCCAGGGGCAGTGGGTTCCGTCATTCCCACAGCACGGTGCGGGAATTTGCGGCAGTGTGGCTTTCGCTGTGGCGGATTCCGCTAGCTTGAAGCTCTACGATTTGGCTCCATTCAGACCCCGGTGGTCCATTGCCTGACCCACGGGGGTCTCTCTTCGGTCCTTAGTTCTTTGGGGCTGGTCACTTCAAGTAACTCTTCTGCTGAGTTCTTGGGGCTTAGCTCTCTGTGCGGTTCACATCAGGGGCGTGTCCAATGTCCTGGCAGACGGTCTGTCTTGGTTCAATCCTCTGTTCACGGCATGGACGGTCAATGCCGATTCCTTCAGTTGACTTTGCCAAATGTTCGGGCCCCCAGAAGTGAACCTCTTTACGTCGGCGTGGTCGAGGCGTTTCCCAGTATATGTGGCACCCTTCCCCGACTGTGAAGCCACCTCCGTCGATGCTTTACGGCAGGACTGGTCAAGGTACCTTTCCTCCGATACAGTTGTTGCTTCGGGTTCTGTCTCGGCTGAAGTCCTATCCGGGGAGGGTTCTCCTTCTGACCCCATGGTGGTTGGCCCAGCCTTGGTTTTGGGCCCTTAGCAGCTTTGTGTGACTTTGGGCTGTCAGTCGCAGCCAGTTGTCCCGTCTTCGTCATGAGGAGCGCAATGCTGCCGCCTCTTGGGTAAGTCCCTCTTTTACTTATCTTTGGATATCTAGTTCCAAGGAATCAATGGGGCTCCCCACAGAAAACCAGCGTTGAATGTAATGAAACGCCATTTTCTGGGTGAGCCTCAGAGGTTCCCTGGCACCCTCGCTCCCTTCGGTTTTTGTTTTCGTTTGCTCAGTAGTCGGACTGGTGGGTGAGCAACCAGCTCAGATGGGTGGGGGCACCCCCTCCCTCTCCCAGGAGTGCGAACAAGCGTTGCGTTGGTTTTTTGACGTTTTGCTTGTTGCATTTTTTGGGGTTCTTGGGCTCTGTTTGGTCTTGGGTTGCAATTTTTTACCAGTTGGGGTTTGTTTTGGGACACCTACCTTTCTGGGTGTCTAACCCCGGTCAATGGCAGACATGAAGACACTCTCAAGGAGTGGAGTTTTCATAGGCCATTGCTCCCTGCGCCTCTCTGAGGGAACCAGGTTCTGGCTCGTGGTTCATGGTAGGCAGAACTCCATGTAACAGATGCTGCAGACTAATATAGCATATATCAGTCTGAGAGCTTCAGGGAGCCTCCGGGGCTCACCCAGAAAATGACGTTTCATTACATTGAACGCTGGGTATTTTATGGGATGGTTCACTATTCATCATTGCAACATGAAACTGTAGAGGTGGAACACTAAGTGCTAAGGTACAGTGATTCATGCTTACTTACCCACGTTCTGCTTGAATTATTGCTGTATACTATTATCTTTTTATATTCATTTTTTTTTTTTTTTTGAAAGAAAATCTTGTAACAATAAAGCTTTTGTTTTGACAGTTCATTTGAAGAATACTGCTCCGAAGTCAAGTCTGGACGCATGGAGTGGTCTCCAGTACATAAGAGTGAGAAATTCTGGCGTGAGAATGCTGGACGTCTGAACGAGAAGAACTATGAGCTTCTGAAGATTCTCATTAATCTCCTGGAGACGAGCAAGGACACATTAGTTTTGTCGGTTGCTTGTCACGACATCGGTGAATACACAAGACACTATTCCCGTGGCAAAAGGTTAGTTACACATGTATTCAATACCAAAGCATGTCCTGGAGCTTAGTGCCATTATTCAATGCACTCACTAAAATGATTTATGTTTATTTACATCCATGTTTTATAAAAATCTCTTGCACTGTTGGCAGAAAAAATAGTAACAAGAACGTTTAATTCCAGGATGGAACGAAATGTTGTCATTTGCATTACATTTAATATGTGTGGATTGGGTTATTAATTTCTTGCACTTTGTTGTTTATTAACACTTTCACTGACCCAGCAGGCAACCCGCTGCGCACCTCAAGGTCGGCTGAGCGGTGCACGTGAACTCAACACCACTCGATAGTTCGCAATAGAATGCTGTAAAGGGATATTTCTATATAAGAACATGTGTCTCACTTTTCTATACTTTCGACAAAAACTCGATAACTTATCTCTCATACGTGTTTGTCAATGCTTTCATCGCGGATTGGCTGTTCTTGATCAGTATCCATCTGGAAGTTAGTTTGCAGTGTTTATAAAGCCAGTAACAACAAATACCAAAGATAAAATAACCAAATGAGGAAACGTTTCGACTCGAGGGGAGGCTGTGACTGTCACGAGTGAGGTCACAAAAAGAGTGAGCCTGCAACGTGGGTGGGTGCCCACATGGCGGGGTCAGGATGCCACGTTGGGTATACAGAGAATGGGCAGACGTTGGCGTGCATTTTAAAACAAGTCCCATAGTATTCGGACAATAACTGGAATTTCTACAAATTGTTTAAATTAACGATGCCGCTTGCATCGTCGGGCATACTGTACTCTGTATTTTGGTTCCATGACGGAATATGCGGCATCGGGCAGCAAAAGGGTCAAGTTACTCGTCTTTTCTATCAATATTTTCTTGTCCGTAATTTAACTATTTTTTCATTCCTTATTTTTTCATACTAATCCATAAATAATTTGTAAGGATAATATGTTGTGTTTGCAGAGTGCTGGAACAGCTGGGAGGGAAACAGTGGGTTATGCATCACCTGACGCACGCCGATCCTAACGTGCGCTACGAGGCCCTCTTGGCGGTCCAGAAGCTCATGGTTCATAACTGGTAAGTTAATTAAAATACAAGTATTCTTACTGGTGCATTTAGTGCTCTTGTCTGGGAGGGCTTCTGCGGCGGTTCCCTGTCGGTAACCAACTGGAGAGCTCTGCACATGTCACACAAGGACCTTACAAGTCACAAAAACTCCTATTGCCCAAATTTAGCTCACTCAAGAAGGCAGGAAGAGCAGGGGGATGCCAGATCACCCTAACTGAGAGAATAAGCCACCAGAAAGATTGTGAAACACTGCAGACAATGGCAAGGTAAATATGAACAACTCTGAAGATTAGGCACCCAGTTGTAGGCTGTTTCCCTGCCAGTTTGACCCACACCGCCCGGGGACAGTCTGGCACGCTCCCTTCAGTCTTCTACCTGGCGTGATCCTCTTCACATGTACTCCTCATGTCACCTTTGTCCTTTGGGTCTTAATTTTTTTCAGATAAGTGTCGGCCATCCTTAGGACTCGATCCTGCGGGGGCCATTTCCTTACGTTTTTCCAATGATTTTGGGGCTCAATGTCCCTGCGGCCCAGCCCTTGACCAGACCTCCTGGTTGCTAGACTGGTCAACTAGGCTGTTGGATGTGGCTGCTTGCAGCCTGATGTATGAATCACAGCCTGATTGATCAGGTAGAGTAGTGAGCAGTGCTCACTGCACACAGGCAAGTTTCTAGCAGTGAGGAACAACCTAACTATTGTATGCCTAGTTTTCAGAGCTGTTCATATTTTTCTTGCTGTTGTCTGTTTTGTTCTGCTCTACCTTTCTGCTTATTCTCTCGGTTATGGTGATCTAGCATCTCCTGCTCCTCGCTCCTCACTGGAAACTGCAGGTTTTGGCCTCTGGTATTTTATGACTGACAAAGGCCTGGTGTGGCATCTTTGGCACTATCCAAGTGGTGAGGAATCCACCAGAAAGAGGAATTGCATTACATTCAATATTGGTTTGTGTGTATGTAATTACCAAAGTGTAGCTACAGGATTAGAGCTATGCTTGTGGTGTCCTGTTTTCCCAGTACTCTGTCGTAAAGTTCTTTGAAACTACTGACGGTTTTAGCCTCCACCACTTTCTCACTTAATGTGTTCCAACCGTCTACCACTACTACAGAAAACTTTGATTTTTTGGGGCACCTGTGTTTCCTTAGCTTGAATCTGTGACCTCTTGTTCTTGAGGTTGTAACTTTCAGGAATGCCTCTGTCAGTTTGGTCAATTCCTGTTATTATTTTGTAAGTGATGATCATATTACCTCTTTCTTCTATCTTTTAGTTTTGAGATATTTAACACCTATAGCTCTTGTTTTTCAGTTCTGGAAGCCATTTTGAAGCATGCCTTTGCACCTTTTCCGGTTTATTGATGGGCTTCTTGAGATAGACCTGCTGCATATTCCAATTTTGGTTTATCAAAATGGAAATATGGAGCGGTTGTATGATGGTGCCCATATCTCAAGAAGCACATCAATAAACTGGAAATGGCACAAGAGCACGCTTCAAAATGGCTTCCAGAACTGAAAAACAAATGTGTGTGTTACCTGCACTTCTCTTAAAGAAATGATAGTGATGTTGAGCAAGTACTAAAAGTTACATGTCTTTACGTCTCCACCACAGGGAGTACTTGGGTAAGCAGCTGGAGAAGGATGCCAAGGAGAGTACACCCCGGACCTGAGTGCCAGACACCCCGGCCCTGAGTGCCAGACTGGTGCACACAAGCAAGACAAAAGTAAACAATAGAAATGGTCAGTGTTAGTGTCAGATATATACCGGGTAATGCTAACAACAGCTACACTTTTCATTTGAATAGAATTTAAGTTAAGAGTTATATTTTATAGCTGTGAATTGTATAAGTGCATATTTTGGCATAAACTTTGTTAGTGTGGTTATTATCATAGCATTTGTATATATATATATATATCAGACTATATGTAGAGGTTTTATGTCGGTGGTCTTGCTAATTACTCCAAAGCAAATGGACACGAGCAATAGTATTAGTGCTGTTCTATAACTTAATATTTGAATGTCTTGTGAATATCGAGTCTGTGCAGGTGTTGTACATCAGAATTAACCCCTAAATGGCGCAGCTATTTACAAGTGCTACATTGACGTACACACGTCTAAAAAAATTTTATGAATCAAATGGGATAAAATTACATTTGGTGATCGTAGCAGTGTGTAGGGTTAAGGCTCGGACTCTCCTGGTACTTAACGCAGGTAATTAATGTTGTAAAACATTCCGTATCTTGAGGTAATGTTTGGAGCGGTGCATGGAATGAAACTCGGCACACAGGTTTAACTCCAGGCATTGCTCCAAAGATTTTCTCATAGATATGTCACACTTGTGATTTCATCATGCATTCCTTATCTTGTAAGCATATTATCCAGGGGAAAGATTAATTATTGTATTAATACAGGGAGGGCAGTAGAAGTGAGCCATTATTCTGTTGTTTCCTAGTCCTTTGCTGTGTATAAGAGTAATCTTTAGACTACAATGCACAATTTTTTTTAAGGGTGTTGTATTGAAATGTATATAATGAAGTTGTTTCTCAGTTGTCATTATTCTTTCTTATTATCCTTCTATAATACATAAACTAATACAATACATAACCAATAATAAGTGATGTATCACCATACATCATTTAAGTGTCTTGGGAGGACAGGTGTATAAAGGTGTAGGAGAGAAAGCTCAAGTGTAGCATCTCAAGACCTGGGAATGGCTTGACACACTACTGCGTTACACAGGACCTGTAGTGAAGGGGTCACCCAAGCCAAATCACAACCCAGAGATCTCGAGATCCGATTCCCAGAATGGATGGAGACATTTGGCCATATTACCTTTCACCTGAAGCCTCTGTTTACTTACCAGTAAGAGTATACTTGATGTGGCTGATACTTGTGAGTTAGGCAATTGTTGTAGGTTGCATCTTGCGTGTGGCCAGTCGTTGGCCTAGGTGGACCAAGATGAACTGAACAAGTCTTTATATCCCCAACAATGGAAAGGGAAGGGAACTATCAGGGAGAAAGTGGCAATCCTTTACAACTGTATAGCACTTGGAAGGGATCAAGATAAGGATTTGGGATGGGATGGGGAAGAAGGAATGGTGCCCAACCACTTGGACAGTTGGGATTGAACACCGACCTGCATGAAGCGAGACCGTCGCTCTACCATCAAGTCAAACTGGTCAGGTACCCAATACCCAACAAGTCATATTTCCCATATTGTGAAAACAGCAAGTGGATTTGGCCAAAATCTGACTCGTCCCCATTTTCAGCAATTGGTATATTTTCACACACCAGGAGGATAGTGGGCTTCTGGTGTGCCTCAGAGGCATTCAGTGAAAGGAAACTTGCCCAACCATTGCTGTCCCACTTGGGAATCGAACCCGCAATTTCCAAGTAAGACTTGAGAACGAAGCCAACTGTACTACGATACCCGCGTTATGGTTTCCTGTTGTTGAGAAGAGAAAGCCTTACGTCTTAACGAGGTAGTCCAAGATACTCTTGATCTTCCCCCCCCTACTTGGTGTACAGAGGCATCAGGTGAATGAAAATGTATCACCATTTCTGTCCTGCCCGGGGATTGAACCCGGGACCCCTTGGCTGAGAGCCGAACATAAAGACCACTCTGCTACAAATGGATAATTTTGGTTCAATAATGGATTCACTGCAGATTCATATATTTATTTTCATGCAGGTAAGTACATGGACTTACACACACAGGTTCCACATGGTAGGGACATAATGTGTTCACTCATGATGCACGAACAGCTGTTGAACATGGTGTTATATACACAAGAAGCAACACGAGTGTTTACTACATAATACAAATCATATATTATAGCACATCAATATAAAATATAATTCCCAGATAGGGAGTCTTTGGTACAAAGTCAGCCTCATAGGCCTAAAGTCTCAAGAGATTTAGTTTCTTGCAAAACATGAAGAGAAAAATACACTGGGAAAGATGTAATAAAGCTTAAGAAGCCCATATGACCTTAAATACACATGGTACTGTATTGCTTAATGACAGTACAGTGGTGTGGGTGTACTACACATCAGTGTCTTCCTGTGTAGTACTAAGACTCCCTGTCTCACACAAGCCCGTTCATCACTGGTTAAGAGTCTTACGGCCACTGGTGTCTTAAGCACATCACATGTTACAGCGACTTAAGCTTCAGAATCCCAGATATGATTTGTTTTTAATCTTAATTGTTACTGTGACAGGTACGAGTATACGCTGAAGCATTGTGATGATTCAGGGGCTCCGGGAACCATACTTTTGTCGCTGATAGGTAAACTAGGCAACTACCTAGGCCTATAAAATCTTATATATAAACTATGAAACAAGGCACATTGTTCAATAAGTGGCAATGAAGAAAGTTTGGGTGAACTGCTTGTTTGTTTCCCCCAAAGTCGCCGGGTATTTTCTGGGCACGGGCGTAGATGTTAGTGCCTGATGCCCAGAGTGTTGTCCTCTGGTGCGAGACGTGTGGGCGGCTGGCAGGTCCTGGAGGTCCTGGAGCACTCCAGCCCTGCACGGCACGGGCACATGCCCAGGTACGCGTCCTCAACCTTGATCTGTGGGCACAAATATTACTTGTATTTTGTTCTTACCGCTGCAGGCACCAACACTCAGTTACCAGGGACACGTACACTCACACAGTGGTTAGGGACACGTACACTCACACAGTCACAAAGGGAGAGAAGAGGTCATAAAGGGAGAGTAGAGGACATAAAGGGAGAGTAGAGGACACAAAGGGAGAGTAGAGGTCACAAAGAGAGTAGAGGACACAAAGGGAGAGTAGAGGACACAAAGGGAGGGTAATAGAGGACACAAAGGGAGGGTAGAGGACACAAAGGGAGAGTAGAGGACACAAAGGGAGGGTAATAGAGGACACAAAGGGAGAGTAGAGGACACAAAGGGAGGGTAATAGAGGACACAAAGGGAGAGTAGAGGACACAAAGGGAGGGTAATAGAGGACACAAAGGGAGGGGAGGTAACTAACCTGGAGGCCGTTGGGGTAATGGAGTGTCATGTCCTGTGAGCCACCAGGGTAGTAGCAGTGGTGTCCGAGGTCCCCCAGCGGGGTACAGGAAGGGATGCTGTACCTCATCTGACCTGTACACAAACAACACTCCTGTAATCAACCTCTTCTCTCACCTAACACCTCAGAGGTTAGAACCATGATATTAATAAACCTGTAATCAACCTCTTCTCTCACCTAACACCTCAGAGGTTAGAACCATGATATTAATAAACCTGTAATCAACCTCTTCTCTCACCTAACACCTCAGAGGTTAGAACCATGATATTAATAAACCTGTAATCAACCTCTTCTCTCACCTAACACCTCCTCAGAGGTTAGAACCATGATATTAATAAATGCGTCTTTGGAGTCGGCCGCCCGATGGAATGACCTGAGAACGGGTTGCAGTTTGAGGCGTGTGTAAACTGGTTTTTCAGTCATAAACATGAGGTTTTGGCGCCTGGGTTAATGAGCATTTGGCCTTTGTTGGTGAGGACAGTATGTGCAACCTGTCCTCAGGCCAGGCTCGTTAAAGCTGTGGTCATCCTCCAAGGCGCATTCATCACTTTTATAGCATCCTGTATTATAAAATGAGATTGGAAGCTATAGATACTCTGGGATCTTGATGGGTTGACATGATGAGTAAGGTGGTGACCTGAGGATGAGTGAGGTTATGACCTGAAGATGAGTGAGTTGATGACCTGAGGATAAGTAAGGTGATGACCTGAGGATGAGTAAGGTGATCACCAGAGGATGAGTAAGGTGATCACCAGAGGATGAGTAAGGTTATGACCTGAGGATGAGTAAGGTGATGACCTGAGGATGAGTGAGGTTATGACCTGAGGATGAGTTAGGTTATGACCTGAGGATGAGTAAGGTGATGACCTAAGGATGAGTAAGGTGGTGACCTGAGGATGAGTTAGGTGATGACCTGAGGATGAGTAAGGTGATGACCTGAGGATGAGTAAGGTGATGAGGGAGGTGTGGACGTACCAACGCGGCAGCAGGCGGAGGGGCCGCAGGAGGGGGTGCTGGTACAGTGACCTGAGGATGAGTAAGGTGATGAGGGAGGTGTGGACGTACCAACGCGGCAGCAGGCGGAGGGGCCGCAGGAGGGGGTGCTGGTACAGTGACCTGAGGATGAGTAAGGTGGTGACCTGAGGATGAGTAAGGTGATGACCTGAGGATGAGTAAGGTGATGACCTGAGGATGAGTAAGGTGGTGACCTGAGGATGAGTAAGGTGATGACCTGAGGATGAGTAAGGTGATGACCTGAGGATGAGTAAGGTGGTGACCTGAGGATGAGTAAGGTGATGAGGGAGGTGTGGACGTACCAACGCGGCAGCAGGCGGAGGGGCCGCAGGAGGGGGTGCTGGTACAGTGACCTGAGGATGAGTAAGGTGGTGACCTGAGGATGAGTAAGGTGATGACCTGAGGATGAGTAAGGTGATGACCTGAGGATGAGTAAGGTGGTGACCTGAGGATGAGTAAGGTGATGAGGGAGGTGTGGACGTACCAACGCGGCAGCAGGCGGAGGGGCCGCAGGAGGGGGTGCTGGTACAGTGACCTGAGGATGAGTAAGGTGGTGACCTGAGGATGAGTAAGGTGGTGACCTGAGGATGAGTAAGGTGGTGACCTGAGGATGAGTAAGGTGGTGACCTGAGGATGAGTAAGGTGGTGACCTGAGGATGAGTAAGGTGATGAGGGAGGTGTGGACGTACCAACGCGGCAGCAGGCGGAGGGGCCGCAGGAGGCGCTGCTGGTACAGTGGTTGGCCAGGGTCACGCCACACATCATCACCAACAACAACAATACTCCACTGCGCTCCATCATTCTCCTGTCGAGGAGGAAACTTATACAGTACGTAAACAATGCAAACTGATTCACTTAACTAGAAACGTAAACATTGCAGCTGTCTTGCCAAACTACTAAGGTAAAGGATGCAAGCCATCCACCTAACATATAGAGGACGATGCACTCACAACCTTAAAATTTCGGTGCTTCGATTTAAACTAATTTTTGGCAATTTTAGCAGATTGGTTGAATCCGCTCAAAATGGGACGTATTAGGGGAGAGGACTCTGCGCTGCTCACACACCATCCACAATGCTCACACACCCTCCACATTGCTCACACACCCTCCACACTGCTCACACACCATCCACACTGCTCACACACCCTCCACACTGCTCACACACCATCCACACTGCTCACACACCATCCACACTGCTCACACACCCTCCACATTGCTCACACACCCTCCACACTGCTCACACACCCTCCACACTGCTCACACACCCTCCACACAGCTCACACACCATCAACACTGCTCACACACCATCCACACTTCTCACACACCCTCCACACAGCTCACACACCCTCCACACTGCTCACACACCCTCCACACAGCTCACACACCCTCCACACTGCTCACACACCCTCCACACAGCTCACACACCCTCCACACTGCTCACACACCCTCCACACAGCTCACACACCATCCACACTGCTCACACACCCTCCACACTGCTCACACACCCTCCACATTGCTCACACACCCTCCACACTGCTCACACACCCTCCACACTGCTCACACACCCTCCACACTGCTCACACACCCTCCACACTGCTCACACACCCTCCACACTGCTCACACACCCTCCACACTGCTCACACACCCTCCACACTGCTCACACACCCTCCACACTGCTCACACACCCTCCACACTGCTCACACACCCTCCACACTGCTCACACACCCTCCACACAGCTCACACACCCTCCACACAGCTCACACACCATCCACACTGCTCACACACCCTCCACACTGCTCACACACCCTCCACACTGCTCACACACCCTCCACACTGCTCACACACCCTCCACACTGCTCACACACCCTCCACACTGCTCACACACCCTCCACACTCAACACTGCACACACACCCTCCACACTGCTCACACACCCTCCACACTGCTCACACACCCTCCACACTGCTCACACACCCTCCACACTGCTCACACACCCTCCACACTGCTCACACACCCTCCACACTGCTCACACACCCTCCACACTGCTCACACACCATCAACACTGCTCACACACCATCAACACTGCTCACACACCATCAACACTGCTCACACACCATCAACACTGCTCACACACCCTCCACACTGCTCACACACCCTCCACACTGCTCACACACCCTCCACACTGCTCACACACCCTCCACACTGCTCACACACCCTCTACACTGCTCACACACCATCAACACTGCTCACACACCATCAACACTGCTCCCACACCATCAACACTGCTCACACACCCTCCACACTGCTCACACACCCTCCACACTGCTCACACACCATCAACACTGCTCACATACCATCAACACTGCTCACACACTGCTCACACACCCTCTACACTGCTCACACACCATCAACACTGCTCACACACCATCAACACTGCTCACACACCCTCCACACTGCTCACACACCCTCCACACTGCTCACACACCCTCCACACTGCTCACACACCCTCCACACTGCTCACACACCCTCTACACTGCTCACACACCATCAACACTGCTCACACACCATCAACACTGCTCCCACACCATCAACACTGCTCACACACCCTCCACACTGCTCACACACCCTCCACACTGCTCACACACACCCTCCACACTGCTCACACACCCTCTACACTGCTCACACACCATCAACACTGCTCACACACCATCAACACTGCTCCCACACCATCAACACTGCTCACACACCCTCCACACTGCTCACACACCCTCCACACTGCTCACACACCATCAACACTGCTCACATACCATCAACACTGCTCACACACTGCTCACACACCCTCTACACTGCTCACACACCATCAACACTGCTCACACACCATCAACACTGCTCACACACCCTCCACACTGCTCACACACCCTCCACACTGCTCACACACCCTCCACACTGCTCACACACCATCAACACTGCTCACACACCATCAACACTGCTCACACACCCTCCACACTGCTCACACACCCTCTACACTGCTCACACACCCTCCACACTGCACACACACCCTCCACACTGCTCACACACCCTCTACACTGCTCACACACCCTCCACACTGCTCACACACCCTCCACACTGCTCACACACCCTCCACACTGCTCACACACCCTCTACACTGCTCACACACCCTCTACACTGCTCACACACCCTCCACACTACTCACACACCCTCTACACTGCTCACACACCCTCCACACTGCTCACACACCCTCCACACTGCTCACACACCCTCCACACTGCTCACACACCCTCCACACTGCTCACACACCATCAACACTGCTCACACACCCTCCACACTGCTCACACACCCTCTACACTGCTCACACACCCTCCACACTGCTCACACACCCTCCACACTGCTCACACACCCTCTACACTGCTCACACACCCTCCACACTGCTCACACACCCTCCACACTGCTCACACACCCTCTATACTGCTCACACACCCTCCACACTGCTCACACACCCTCCACACTGCTCACACACCCTCCACACTGCTCACACACCCTCCACACTGCTCACACACCCTCCACACAGTGCTCACAGAGTGTGGAGAGTTATAGGTAGATGATGTTAGTGAGAGTGTGGTTAGGGGAGGTGGGCGGATGCAGGTGGATAGTGGGAGTTAGTGGGAGGCAGGATAGGGATTTCCTCCGTTAGCCAAACTGATTACTATAAGTCCCCAGGTGTGGTGGTGGGTGAGTCCCCAGGTGTGGTGGTGGGTGAGTCCCCAGGTGTGGTGGTGAGTCCTCAGGTGTGGTGGTGGGTGAGTCCCCAGGTGTGGTGGGTGAGTCCCCAGGTGTGGTGGTGAGTCCCCAGGTGTGGTGGTGGGTGAGTCCCCAGGTGTGGTGGTGGGTGAGTCCCCAGGTGTGGTGGTGGGTGAGTCCCCAGGTGTGGTGGTGGGTGAGTCCCCAGGTGTGGTGGTGGGTGAGTCCCCAGGTGTGGTGGTGAGTCCTCAGGTGTGGTGGTGGGTGAGTCCCCAGGTGTGGTGGGTGAGTCCCCAGGTGTGGTGGTGAGTCCCCAGGTGTGGTGGTGGGTGAATCCCCAGGTGTGGTGGTGGGTGAGTCCCCAGGTGTGGTGGTGGGTGAGTCCCCAGGTGTGGTGGTGGGTGAGTCCCCAGGTGTGGTGGGTGAGTCCCCAGGTGTGGTGGTGAGTCCCCAGGTGTGGTGGTGGGTGAGTCCCCAGGTGTGGTGGTGGGTGAGTCCCCAGGTGTGGTGGTGGGTGAGTCCCCAGGTGTGGTGGGTGAGTCCCCAGGTGTGGTGGTGAGTCCCCAGGTGTGGTGGTGGGTGAGTCCCCAGGTGTGGTGGTGGGTGAGTCCCCAGGTGTGGTGGTGGGTGAGTCCCCAGGTGTGGTGGTGAGTCCTCAGGTGTGGTGGTGGGTGAGTCCCCAGGTGTGGTGGTGGGTGAGTCCCCAGGTGTGGTGGTGGGTGAGTCCCCAGGTGTGGTGGTGAGTCCTCAGGTGTGGTGGTGGGTGAGTCCCCAGGTGTGGTGGTGGGTGAGTCCCCAGGTGTGGTGGTGGGTGAGTCCCCAGGTGTGGTGGTGAGTCCTCAGGTGTGGTGGTGGGTGAGTCCCCAGGTGTGGTGGTGGGTGAGTCCCCACGTGTGGTGGGTGAGTGCCCAGGTGTGGTGATGGGTGAGTCCCCAGGTGTGGTGGGTGAGTCCCCAGGTGTGGTGGGCGAGTCCCCAGGTGTGGTGGGTAAGTCCCCAGGTGTGGTGGTGGGTGAGTCCCCAGGTGTGGTGATGGGTGAGTCCCCAGGTGTGGTGGTGAGTGAGTCCCCAGGTGTGGTGGTGGTGAGTCCCCAGGTGTGGTGGTGAGTGAGTCCCCAGGTGTGGTGGTGGGTGAGTCCCCAGGTGTGGTGGTGAGTGAGTCCCCAGGTGTGGTGGTGGTGAGTCCCCAGGTGTGGTGGTGGTGAGTCCCCAGGTGTGGTGGTGGGTGAGTCCCCAGGTGTGGTGGTGAGTGAGTCCCCAGGTGTGGTGGTGAGTGAGTCCCCAGGTGTGGTGGTGGGTGAGTCCCCAGGTGTGGTGGTGAGTGAGTCCCCAGGTGTGGTGGTGAGTGAGTCCCCAGGTGTGGTGGTGGTGAGTCCCTAGGTGTGGTGGTGAGTGAGTCCCCAGGTGTGGTGGTGGTGAGTCTTTAGGTGTGGTGGTGGGTGAGTCCCCAGGTGTGGTGGTGGTGAGTCCCTAGGTGTGGTGGTGGGTGAGTCCCCAGGTGTGGTGGGTGAGTCCCCAGGTGTGGTGGGTGAGTCCCCAGGTGTGGTGGGTGAGTCCCCAGGTGTGGTGGTGGGTGAGTCCCCAGGTGTGGTGGTGGGTGAGTCCCCAGGTGTGGTGGTGGGTGAGTCCCCAGGTGTGGTGATTGATGAGTCCCCAGGTGTGGTGACTAATGCCTCCCGTACATAGTAAAGTTCAACTAACCTGAGTGTGAACTTGCTGAACACTTGGTAAAGAAGACTGTTAGAGGGAGAGAGAGACGACACCAACACCTCCCCTCAACGTCCACTTCACGACTGACATATACCTGGTGATCTAGTGTGTTATATAGTCCAGTGAAGATCCACTCCACGGTTACCAGATACTGAATTATAACAACTTTAATACTCAATAATCCAGGGCCGGAAGTAACACTTAATACACAGATATACAAGAACAAGAATACAACTTGGAGTCGCTAAATACACTGGTTCAGCAGCAGGAGCAGCAGCTGGGTGTAATATGTTGTAGGAGGTGTGGCAGCGGCATGTGGCACCACCGGGCAAAGGACTTCCCACTGTGATAATGTTGACGTCACGCACATGGGCACGTGCCCAGGTGGACGGAAGGACAGCTGACAGCATGCCCAGGGCATTGTCAGGCAAGTATGCAGATCAGGGGCAGGGGTGAGGGCTGACAGCATGCCCAGGGCATTGTCAGGCAAGTATGAAGATCAGGGGCAGGGGTGAGGGCTGACAGCATGTCCAGGGCATTGTCAGACAAGTATGAAGATCAGGGGCAGGGGTGAGGGCTGACAGCATGCCCAGGGCATTGTCAGGCAAGTATGAAGATCAGGGGCAGGGGTGAGGGCTGACAGCATGCCCAGGGCATTGTCAGGCAAGTATGAAGATCAGGGGCAGGGGTGAGGGCTGACAGCATGTCCAGGGCATTGTCAGGCAAGTATGAAGATCAGGGGCAGGGTGAGGACTGACAACATGCCCAGGGCATTGTCAGGCAAGTATGAAGATCAGGGGCAGGGGTGAGGGCTGACAGCATGCCCAGGGCATTGTCAGGCAAGTATGAAGATCAGGGGCAGGGGTGAGGGCTGACAGCATGTCCAGGGCATTGTCAGGCAAGTATGAAGATCAGGGGCAGGGGTGAGGGCTGACAGCATGTCCAGGGCATTGTCAGGCAAGTATGAAGATCAGGGGCAGGGGTGAGGACTGACAACATGCCCAGGGCATTGTCAGGCAAGTATGAAGATCAGGGGCAGGGGTGAGGGCTGACAGCATGCCCAGGGCATTGTCAGGCAAGTATGAAGATCAGGGGCAGGGGTGAGGGCTGACAGCATGTCCAGGGCATTGTCAGGCAAGTATGAAGATCAGGGGCAGGGTAAGGGCTGACAACATGCCCAGGGCATTGTCAGGCAAGTATGAAGATCAGGGGCAGGGGTGAGGGCTGACAGCATGTCCAGGGCATTGTCAGGCAAGTATGAAGATCAGGGGCAGGGGTGAGGACTGACAACATGCCCAGGGCATTGTCAGGCAAGTATGAAGATCAGGGGCAGGGTAAGGGCTGACAGCATGCCCAGGACATTGTCAGGCAAGTATGAAGATCAGGGGCAGGGGTGAGGGCTGACAGCATGTCCAGGGCATTGTCAGGCAAGTATGAAGATCAGGGGCAGGGGTGAGGGCTGACAGCATGCCCAGGGCATTGTCAGGCAAGTATGAAGATCAGGGGCAGGGGTGAGGACTGACAGCATGCCCAGGGCATTGTCAGGCATGTATGAAGATCAGGGGCAGGGGTGAGGGCTGACAGCATGCCCAGCGAGGCGAGGGCTGTCAACATGCCCAGCGAGGCGAGGGCTGACAACATGCCCAGCGAGGCGAGGCGACACAACATGGCCAGCGAGGCGAGGCAACACAACATGCCCAGCGAGGCGAGGGCTGACAACATGGCCAGCGAGGCAAGGCAACACAACATGCCCATCGAGACGAGGCAACATGGCCAGCGAGGCGAGGCAACACAACATGCCCAGCGAGGCGAGGGCTGACAACATGGCCAGCGAGACGAGGCAACACAACATGCCCATCGAGGCGAGGCAACATGGCCAGCGAGGCGAGGCAACACAACATGCCCAGCGAGGCGAGGCAACACAACATGTCCAGCGAGGCGAGGCAACACAACATGCCCAGCGAGGCGAGGGCTGACAACATGCCCAGCGAGGCGAGGCGACACAACATGGCCAGCGAGGCGAGGCAACACAACATGCCCAGCGAGGCGAGGGCTGACAACATGGCCAGCGAGGCGAGGCAACACAACATGCCCATCGAGGCAAGGCAACATGGCCAGCGAGGCGAGGCAACACAACATGCCCAGCGAGGCGAGGGCTGACAACATGGCCAGCGAGACGAGGCAACACAACATGCCCATCGAGGCGAGGCAACATGGCCAGCGAGGCGAGGCAACACAACATGCCCAGCGAGGCGAGGCAACACAACATGCCCAGCAAGGCGAGGCAACATGGCCAGCGAGGCGAGGCAACACAACATGCCCAGCGAGGCGAGGCAACACAACATGCCCAGCGAGGCGAGGGCTGACAACATGGCCAGCGAGGCGAGGCAACACAACATGCCCAGCGAGGCGAGGCAACACAACATGCCCAGCGAGGCGAGGAAACAAAACATGCCCACCGAGGCGAGGCAACACAACATGCCCAGCGAGGCGAGGCAACACAACATGCCCAGCGAGGCGAGGCAACACAACATGCCCAGCGAGGCGAGGCAACACAACATGCCCAGCGAGGCGAGGCAACACAACATGCCCAGCGAGGCGAGGGTTGACAACATGTCCAGCGAGGCAAGGGCTGACAACATGCCCAGCGAGGCGAGGGCTGACAACATGGCCAGCGAGGCGAGGCAACACAACATGCCCAGTGAGGCGAGGGCTGACAACATGCCCAGCGAGGCGAGGCAACACAACATGCCCAGCGAGGCGAGGCGAAGGCTGACAACATGCCCAGCGAGGCGAGGGCTGACAACATGCCCAGCGAGGCGAGGCAACACAACATGCCCAGCGAGGCGAGGCAACACAACATGCCCAGCGAGGCGAGGGCAGACAACATGCCCAGCGAGGCGAGGCAACACAACATGCCCAGCGAGGCGAGGCAACACAACATGCCCAGCGAGGCGAGGGCTGACAACATTGCCAGCGAGGCGAGGCAACACAACATGCCCAGCGAGGCGAGGCAACACAACATGCCCAGCGAGGCGAGGCAACACAACATGCCCAGCGAGGCGAGGCAACACAACATGCCCAGCGAGGCGAGGGCTGACAACATGGCCAGCGAGGTGAGGCAACACAACATGCCCAGCGAGGCGAGGCAACACAACATGCCCAGCGAGGCGAGGCAACACAACATGCCCAGCGAGGCGAGGCAACACAACAAGCCCAGCGAGGCGAGGGCTGACAACATGCCCAGCGAGGCGAGGCAACACAACATGCCCAGCGAGGCGAGGACTGACAACATGGCCAGCGAGGCGAGGCAACACAACATGCCCAGTGAGGCGAGGCAACACAACATGCCCAGCGAGGCGAGGCAACACAACATGCCCAGTGAGGCGAGGCAACACAACATGCCCAGCGAGACGAGGCAACACAACATGCCCAGCGAGGCGAGGCTGACAACATGCCCAGCGAGGCGAGGCAACATAACATGCCCAGCAAGGCGAGGGCTGACAACATGCCCAATGAGGCGAGGCTGACAACATGCCCAGCGAGGCGAGGCAACACAACATGCCCAGCGAGGCGAGCGCTGACAACATGCCCAACGAGGCGGGGCAACACAACATGACCAGCGAATCGAGAGCTGACAACATGCCCAGCGAGGCGAGGGCTGACAACATGCCCAGCGAGGCGAGGGCTGACAACATGCCCAGCGAGGCGAGGCAACAACATGCCCAGCGAGGCGAGGGCTGACAACATGCCCAGCGAGGCGAGGCAACATGCCCAGCGAGGCAAGGCAACACAACATGCCCAGCGAGGCGAGGCAACACAACATGCCCAGCGAGGCGAGGCAACACAACATGCCCAGCGAGGCGAGGGCTGACAACATGCCCAGCGAGGCGAGGCAACACAACATGCCCAGCGAGGCGAGGGCTGACAACATGCCCAGCGAGGCGAGGGCTGACAACATGCCAAGCGAGGCGAGGCAACATGCCCAGCGAGGCAAGGCAACACAACATGCCCAGCGAGGCGAGGCAACACAACATGCCCAGCGAGGCGAGGGCTGACAACATGCCCACCGAGGCGAGGCAACATGCCCAGCGAGGCAAGGCAACACAACATGCCCAGCGAGGCGAGGCAACACAACATGCCCAGCGAGGCGAGGGTTGACAACATGCCCAGCGAGGCGAGGCAACACAACATGCCCAGCGAGGTGAGGCAGCACAACATGCCCAGCGAGGCGAGGCAACACAACATTCCCAGCGAGGCGAGGCAACACAACATGCCCAGCGAGGCGAGGCAACATGCCCAGCAAGGCGAGGCAACACAACATGCCCAGCGAGGCGAGGCAGCACAACATGCCCAGCGAGGCGAGGCAACACAACATGCCCAGCGAGGCGAGGCAACACAACATGCCCAGCGAGGCGAGGCAACACAACATGCCCAGCGAGGCGAGGCAACACAACATTCCCAGCGAGGCGAGGCAACACAACATGCCCAGCGAGGCGAGGCAACATGCCCAGCGAGGCGAGGCAACACAACATGCCCAGTGAGGCGAGGCAACACAACATGCCCAGCGAGGCGAGGAAACACAACATGCCCAGCGAGGCGAGGCAACACAACATGCCCAGCGAGGCGAGGCAACACAACATGCCCAGCGAGGCGAGGCAACACAACATGCCCAGCGAGGCGAGGCAACACAACATGCCCAGCGAGGCGAGGCAACATGCCCAGCGAGGCGAGGCAACATGCCCAGTGAGGCGAGGCAACATGCCCAGCGAGGCGAGGCAACACAACATGCCCAGCGAGGCGAGGCAGCACAACATGCCCAGCGAGGCGAGGCACCATAACATGCCCAGCGAGGCGAGGTAACACAACATGCCCAGCGAGGCGAGGCAACACAACATGCCCAGCGAGGCGAGGCAACACAACATTCCCAGCGAGGCGAGGCAACACAACATGCCCAGCGAGGCGAGGCAACATGCCCAGCGAGGCGAGGCAACACAACATGCCCAGCGAGGCGAGGCAACACAACATGCCCAGCGAGGCGAGGCAACACAACATGCCCAGCGAGGCGAGGCAACACAACATGCCCAGCGAGGCGAGGCAACACAACATGCCCAGCGAGGCGAGGCAACACAACATGCCCAGCGAGGCGAGGCAACACAACATGCCCAGCGAGGCGAGGCAACACAACATGCCCAGCAAGGCGAGGCAACACAACATGCCCAGCGAGGCGAGGCAACACAACATGCCCAGCGAGGCGAGGCAACATGCCCAGCGAGGCGAGGCAACATGCCCAGTGAGGCGAGGCAACATGCCCAGCGAGGCGAGGCAACACAACATGCCCAGCGAGGCGAGGCAGCACAACATGCCCAGCGAGGCGAGGCACCACAACATGCCCAGCGAGGCGAGGTAACACAACATGCCCAGCGAGGCGAGGCAACACAACATGCCCAGCGAGGCGAGGCAACACAACATGCCCAGCGAGGCGAGGCAACACAACATGCCCAGCGAGGCGAGGCAACACAACATGCCCAGCGAGGCGAGGCAACATGCCCAGCAAGGCGAGGCAACACAACATGCCCAGCGAGGCGAGGCAACATGCCCAGCAAGGCGAGGCAACACAACATGCCCAGCGAGGCGAGGCAGCACAACATGCCCAGCGAGGCGAGGCAACACAACATGCCCAGCGAGGCGAGGCAACAAAACATGCCCATCGAGGCGAGGCAACACAACATGCCCAGCGAGGCGAGGCAACACAACATGCCCAGCGGGGCGAGGCAACACAACATGCCCAGCGAGGTGAGGCAACACAACATGCCCAGTGAGGCGAGGCAACACAACATGCCCAGCGAGGCGAGGCAACACAACATGCCCAGCGAGGCGAGGCAACACAACATGCCCAGCGAGGCGAGGCAACACAACATGCCCAGCGAGGCGAGGCAACACAACATGCCCAGCGAGGCGAGGCAACACAACATGCCCAGCGAGTCCCCGCCAGGTGTGTGACCAGCTCCCTGCTGGTGTCTTCCCCGCCAGGTGTGTGACCAGCTCCCTGCTGGTGTCTTCCCCGCCAGGTGTGTGACCAGCTCCCTGCTGGTGTCTTCCCCGCCAGGTGTGTGACCAGCTCCCTGCTGGTGTCTTCCCCGCCAGGTGTGTGACCAGCTCCCTGCTGGTGTCCACACCGTCCCCGCCAGGTGTGTGACCAGTTCCCTGCTGGTGTCCAGGTGTGTGACCAGCTCCCTGCTCCCCGCCAGGTGTGTGACCAGCTCCCTGCTGGTGTCTTCCCCGCCAGGTGTGTGACCAGCTCCCTGCTGGTGTCTTCCCCGCCAGGTGTGTGACCAGCTCCCTGCTGGTGTCTTCCCCGCCAGGTGTGTGACCAGCTCCCTGCTGGTGTCTTCCCCGCCAGGTGTGTGACCAGCTCCCTGCTGGTGTCTTCCCCGCCAGGTGTGTGACCAGCTCCCTGCTGGTGTCTTCCCCGCCAGGTGTGTGACCAGCTCCCTGCTGGTGTCTTCCCCGCCAGGTGTGTGACCAGCTCCCTGCTGGTGTCTTCCCCGCCAGGTGTGTGACCAGCTCCCTGCTGGTGTCTTCCCCGCCAGGTGTGTGACCAGCTCCCTGCTGGTGTCCAGCTCCCTGCTCCCCGCCAGGTGTGTGACCAGCTCCCTGCTGGTGTCTTCCCCGCCAGGTGTGTGACCAGCTCCCTGCTGGTGTCTTCCCCGCCAGGTGTGTGACCAGCTCCCTGCTGGTGTCTTCCCCGCCAGGTGTGTGACCAGCTCCCTGCTGGTGTCCCCCGCCAGTGTGTGACCAGCTCCCTGCTGGTGTCTTCCCCGCCAGGTGTGTGACCAGCTCCCTGCTGGTGTCTTCCCCGCCAGGTGTGTGACCAGCTCCCTGCTGGTGTCTTCCCCGCCAGGTGTGTGACCAGCTCCCTGCTGGTGTCTTCCCCGCCAGGTGTGTGACCAGCTCCCTGCTGGTGTCTTCCCCGCCAGGTGTGTGACCAGCTCCCTGCTGGTGTCTTCCCCGCCAGGTGTGTGACCAGCTCCCTGCTGGTGTCTTCCCCGCCAGGTGTGTGACCAGCTCCCTGCTGGTGTCTTCCCCGCCAGGTGTGTGACCAGCTCCCTGCTGGTGTCTTCCCCGCCAGGTGTGTGACCAGCTCCCTGCTGGTGTCTTCCCCCAGGTGTGTGACCAGCTCCCTGCTGGTGTCTTCCCCGCCAGGTGTGTGACCAGCTCCCTGCTGGTGTCTTCCCCGCCAGGTGTGTGACCAGCTCCCTGCTGGTGTCTTCCCCGCCAGGTGTGTGACCAGCTCCCTGCTGGTGTCTTCCCCGCCAGGTGTGTGACCAGCTCCCTGCTGGTGTCTTCCCCGCCAGGTGTGTGACCAGCTCCCTGCTGGTGTCTTCCCCGCCAGGTGTGTGACCAGCTCCCTGCTGGTGTCTTCCCCGCCAGGTGTGTGACCAGCTCCCTGCTGGTGTCTTCCCCGCCAGGTGTGTGACCAGCTCCCTGCTGGTGTCCAGGTGTGTGACCAGCTCCCTGCTGGTGTCCCCGCCAGGTGTGTGACCAGCTCCCTGCTGGTGTCTTCCCCGCCAGGTGTGTGACCAGCTCCCTGCTGGTGTCTTCCCCGCCAGGTGTGTGACCAGCTCCCTGCTGGTGTCTTCCCCGCCAGGTGTGTGACCAGCTCCCTGCTGGTGTCTTCCCCGCCAGGTGTGTGACCAGCTCCCTGCTGGTGTCTTCCCCGCCAGGTGTGTGACCAGCTCCCTGCTGGTGTCTTCCCCGCCAGGTGTGTGACCAGCTCCCTGCTGGTGTCTTCCCCGCCAGGTGTGTGACCAGCTCCCTGCTGGTGTCTTCCCCGCCAGGTGTGTGACCAGCTCCCTGCTGGTGTCCCCCGCCAGGTGTGTGACCAGCTCCCTGCTGGTGTCTTCCCCGCCAGGTGTGTGACCAGCTCCCTGCTGGTGTCTTCCCCGCCAGGTGTGTGACCAGCTCCCTGCTGGTGTCTTCCCCGCCAGGTGTGTGACCAGCTCCCTGCTGGTGTCTTCCCCGCCAGGTGTGTGACCAGCTCCCTGCTGGTGTCTTCCCCGCCAGGTGTGTGACCAGCTCCCTGCTGGTGTCTTCCCCGCCAGGTGTGTGACCAGCTCCCTGCTGGTGTCTTCCCCGCCAGGTGTGTGACCAGCTCCCTGCTGGTGTCTTCCCCGCCAGGTGTGTGACCAGCTCCCTGCTGGTGTCTTCCCCGCCAGGTGTGTGACCAGCTCCCTGCTGGTGTCTTCCCCGCCAGGTGTGTGACCAGCTCCCTGCTGGTGTCTTCCCCGCCAGGTGTGTGACCAGCTCCCTGCTGGTGTCTTCCCCGCCAGGTGTGTGACCAGCTCCCTGCTGGTGTCTTCCCCGCCAGGTGTGTGACCAGCTCCCTGCTGGTGTCTTCCCCGCCAGGTGTGTGACCAGCTCCCTGCTGGTGTCTTCCCCGCCAGGTGTGTGACCAGCTCCCTGCTGGTGTCTTCCCCGCCAGGTGTGTGACCAGCTCCCTGCTGGTGTCTTCCCCGCCAGGTGTGTGACCAGCTCCCTGCTGGTGTCTTCCCCCGCCAGGTGTGTGACCAGCTCCCTGCTGGTGTCTTCCCCGCCAGGTGTGTGACCAGCTCCCTGCTGGTGTCTTCCCCGCCAGGTGTGTGACCAGCTCCCTGCTGGTGTCTTCCCCGCCAGGTGTGTGACCAGCTCCCTGCTGGTGTCTTCCCCGCCAGGTGTGTGACCAGCTCCCTGCTGGTGTCTTCCCCGCCAGGTGTGTGACCAGCTCCCTGCTGGTGTCTTCCCCGCCAGGTGTGTGACCAGCTCCCTGCTGGTGTCTTCCCCGCCAGGTGTGTGACCAGCTCCCTGCTGGTCTTCCCCGTCCAGCTCCCTGCTGGTGTCCCCCGCCAGGTGTGTGACCAGCTCCCTGCTGGTGTCTTCCCCGCCAGGTGTGTGACCAGCTCCCTGCTGGTGTCTCCCTCTGGTGTCCCCCGCCAGGTGTGTGACCAGCTCCCTGCTGGTGTCTTCCCCGCCAGGTGTGTGACCAGCTCCCTGCTGGTGTCTTCCCCGCCAGGTGTGTGACCAGCTCCCTGCTGGTGTCTTCCCCGCCAGGTGTGTGACCAGCTCCCTGCTGGTGTCTTCCCCGCCAGGTGTGTGACCAGCTCCCTGCTGGTGTCTTCCCCGCCAGGTGTGTGACCAGCTCCCTGCTGGTGTCTTCCCCGCCAGGTGTGTGACCAGCTCCCTGCTGGTGTCTTCCCCGCCAGGTGTGTGACCAGCTCCCTGCTGGTGTCTTCCCCGCCAGGTGTGTGACCAGCTCCCTGCTGGTGTCTTCCCCGCCAGGTGTGTGACCAGCTCCCTGCTGGTGTCTTCCCCGCCAGGTGTGTGACCAGCTCCCTGCTGGTGTCTTCCCCGCCAGGTGTGTGACCAGCTCCCTGCTGGTGTCTTCCCCGCCAGGTGTGTGACCAGCTCCCTGCTGGTGTCTTCCCCGCCAGGTGTGTGACCAGCTCCCTGCTGGTGTCTTCCCCGCCAGGTGTGTGACCAGCTCCCTGCTGGTGTCTTCCCCGCCAGGTGTGTGACCAGCTCCCTGCTGGTGTCTTCCCCGCCAGGTGTGTGACCAGCTCCCTGCTGGTGTCTTCCCCGCCAGCTCCCTGCTGTGTCTTCCCCCCCGAGGTGTGTGACCAGCTCCCTGCTGGTGTCTTCCCCGCCAGGTGTGTGACCAGCTCCCTGCTGGTGTCTTCCCCGCCAGGTGTGTGACCAGCTCCCTGCTGGTGTCTTCCCCGCCAGGTGTGTGACCAGCTCCCTGCTGGTGTCCAGCTTCCCCGCCAGGTGTGTGACCAGCTCCCTGCTGGTGTCTTCCCCGCCAGGTGTGTGACCAGCTCCCTGCTGGTGTCTTCCCCGCCAGGTGTGTGACCAGCTCCCTGCTGGTGTCTTCCCCGCCAGGTGTGTGACCAGCTCCCTGCTGGTGTCTTCCCCGCCAGGTGTGTGACCAGCTCCCTGCTGGTGTCTTCCCCGCCAGGTGTGTGACCAGCTCCCTGCTGGTGTCTTCCCCGCCAGGTGTGTGACCAGCTCCCTGCTGGTGTCTTCCCCGCCAGGTGTGTGACCAGCTCCCTGCTGGTGTCTTCCCCGCCAGGTGTGTGACCAGCTCCCTGCTGGTGTCTTCCCCGCCAGGTGTGTGACCAGCTCCCTGCTGGTGTCTTCCCCGCCAGGTGTGTGACCAGCTCCCTGCTGGTGTCTTCCCCGCCAGGTGTGTGACCAGCTCCCTGCTGGTGTCTTCCCCGCCAGGTGTGTGACCAGCTCCCTGCTGGTGTCTTCCCCGCCAGGTGTGTGACCAGCTCCCTGCTGGTGTCTTCCCCGCCAGGTGTGTGACCAGCTCCCTGCTGGTGTCTTCACCGCCAGGTGTGTGACCAGCTCCCTGCTCCCCGCCAGGTGTGTGACCAGCTCCCTGCTGGTGTCTTCCCCGCCAGGTGTGTGACCAGCTCCCTGCTGGTGTCTTCCCCGCCAGGTGTGTGACCAGCTCCCTGCTGGTGTCTTCCCCGCCAGGTGTGTGACCAGCTCCCTGCTGGTGTCTTCCCCGCCAGCTCCCTGCTGGTGTCTTCCCCGCCAGGTGTGTGACCAGCTCCCTGCTGGTGTCTTCCCCGCCAGGTGTGTGACCAGCTCCCTGCTGGTGTCTTCCCCGCCAGGTGTGTGACCAGCTCCCTGCTGGTGTCTTCCCCGCCAGGTGTGTGACCAGCTCCCTGCTGGTGTCTTCCCCGCCAGGTGTGTGACCAGCTCCCTGCTGGTGTCTTCCCCGCCAGGTGTGTGACCAGCTCCCTGCTGGTGTCTTCCCCGCCAGGTGTGTGACCAGCTCCCTGCTGGTGTCTTCCCCGCCAGGTGTGTGACCAGCTCCCTGCTGGTGTCTTCCCCGCCAGGTGTGTGACCAGCTCCCTGCTGGTGTCTTCCCCTGGTGTCTTCCCCGCCAGGTGTGTGACCAGCTCCCTGCTGGTGTCTTCCCCGCCAGGTGTGTGACCAGCTCCCTGCTGGTGTCT